AATGATCTGCCTGAAAGGGTAGTGAAGTCTGATTCGATAACAGCTTTTAAGAGAGAACTGGATAGGTATCCGGGGAAGACGGGTTTGCAGGGTTATGGGGGAAAGCTGGTAATTGGGGTTAGTGAAAGTGACTTGCTCTGTCAAAGAGCCGGCACAGACTCGATGGCCGAATGGCCTCCTTCTGTGCCGAAACATTCTATGAAATCTATGAAATACCAATGTTGTGCCAATTATAATGAACTTGCTTTGAGAGAAGTACCTCCTATATTAGCAACTTCTCTCATTGTTCTGGCGATTTAGAATTGTCCGCATTGTTTAGGTGACTAGGTGTGACCTGGAGTTAAATACATACTTATTCTTTCTGCGCCACATAATTGCGCAATGATGCATAAAATGATGCAAAATTGTTTTTAATGAAGCTTTATCAAGCTGAATAACACACAAGTGTGTTGTTATACTATGCATAACAACAACAACTTGCATTCATATAGCGCCCCTCACGCAGGATAATGTCCCAGAGAGCTTGACAGTAGCGGAGCACAACGCTGAGCCGGGTGGGGGGGAGGGGGAGGTGACCATAGACAGTGCTGAATAGGAAGGTCTTCAGGCACAACCTGAAGATGGGGAAGGGAATGGCAAGGCGGAGGGATAGAGGAAAGGTGTTCCAGTGTTTCGGGGCAGAAAGCGCGGCCACCAATGGTGGAACTGAGGACACAAAGAGCATGCAGAAGGCTGGAGCCAGTTGAGCGGAGGCAGCAGGTAGTAGGTTGGGGGGAAAGCATGTCAGAGAAGTAGGGAAGTGCCAGGGCATGAAGGGATTTGAAAATGAGTGTGAAGATCATGACGTCAATCCGTTCAGCGATTGGGAGCCAGTGGAGCCTACATAGAACTGCTGTGATGGGGGTACGGAGTTTGGTGCGGATGAGTATACGGGTGGCAGAGTTTTGGATCAGCTGAATCTTGTGCATGTTAGAGCTGGGAAGGCCGGCGAGGAGGGCATTTGATAACTCGAGTCTGGAAGTAACTAATACATGGCCGAGTGTTTTAGCTGTGTCTGCGGTAAGATATCGTCGGAGGTGGGCGACCTAGCGGAGGAAGGCGGCCCTGGTCAGGGATCAGATATGGGGAAGGAAGGATAGCTGTGGATCGAACCCGTGCCTAGATTGCACACTGGTTTGGTGAATCTGAGGGATAGGCCGGGGAGTTTGAGGAGGTCAGAGCCACAGGAAAGAAGACGTTGACAGGAGCCAAGGAGTATGGCTTCCATCTTGTCAACATTTAGTTGTAAAGCTTGTCCCTGAGGTCTGCCAGACAAGCCAACAGAGCATTGGTAAACCTAGAGAAGTAGATTTGTGTGTCATCTGCATACATGTGGAAGTTTACTCTGTGTCTGTGACATCGCCAAGAGGGAGCACATAGGTGAGGAAGAGAAGAAGCCAAGGATGGAGCCCTGAGATACACCACATGTAACCGGGCAGGGACGGTCAGTGAAGATCTCTACAAATTACTGTGTGCAAATAAGCTGTAGTGTTTGCCTACAATAGACCTAACTTTCCAATATATCCTGAAGCTCTTTGAGATGTAATCCGGATGTGAAAGGTATGATATAAAAAGTATTATTATTAATAAATACATTTTCTGCTTGGTGAACCTATGAACTTGCATTTTTATCTGCAAAGTTGATTCTTGTACTCTTATATTAATTTATGTAATTTTAACTCACAACCAATATTGCATTATAAACATAACTTTAAATTATACATTTAAAATTGAATTTGTTTAGTAAATGCTCATTTATAAATTTGTGAAACTTAATGAATAAAGCAGAATAGCCCACAGAAATGATTCATTACATGGAGCATTGAGAGTAAGCTTTAAAGTGATTTAGAAAGTGCAATAGTGCCATTTGCTGGCAGGTAAATAATATTACAGGAATATCTAGGCTTTCAAATCACCTTCCAAAGAGTGCCAACAATTGATGCAATGTTTATACAGGTTCACACTGCACCCAGGAGGTCAGCATTCAATGTGGACAGCAATGAGCAGTTAGCTAATGTTTAAATATTAAAAAAGCTGACTTCAAGTCAGCTCTTTGTGGTTTATTCTGTGTTTATTCTGTGTTGAAATTTGGAATTTAGACAGCAAACACTTCAAGACTATAAGAGTGGACAGTTTTAGTTTAATACAAGTTAGTCTCAAATAGTGCCATCTGAAAACACAGATTTCGCACCTCTGATTCAGTAGGATGTGGGTGTAAGGCCCAGGTCATGGTTCTGATAGTGTAAGCTGACACTTCAATGCAGTGCCAGCTGAGGTGGCTGCATTGTTGGAGGTGCTGTACTTCGTATGAGATGTTAAACCAAGATCACGCCTGCATTTTCAGGTGGCTCTATTTGGTTGTTTGTGGGACACTGCTGTATGCAAATTAACTGCGTGAAACCGCCTTGTGACATGAAAGGCGCTATATTAAATTGAATGATTATTAAGAGTCTAAATTTTTACATTTTTAATGCATTGGTAAAGATTAGATTCACTTCATTGCAAACTGATTCAAAATACAGTTTTAAAAAAAATAAGCCTTGCAACACACAATTGAAACTATGATTTTTTTATTGAGAGTTTACATTTAACAAAATAAAATGGTACATAAAAATACAACTATTTCTAGTGGATAATAGCTTGTATTTTATAGCAAGGTAATCTGTTTACCAACCGAATGAAACACATTGGCATATACTTATATTGTTTCCTTGCATAATGTGCTAATTAGCAGTGGCAACATACATTAGTAGGAAAAACAATGAAAACACAACAGGAAACATTCTGCAGTCTGAATTAGCCTACAGTAAGCAAATAGTTGGCAACTTATCATAATTTCATTTTCACCTCAAATGATCTTCTGCAAACCAGATATGATTTTAAAGTAGACATAAACATCTAATGAAGGCACAATATTTTGTAATTCCATTTGACTGACACCAATGTACTCTATTTGAAAAATGGCTTTAACCACCTCATACACCTATTGTTAAACTCACGCTGAAAGCAGGGATATGGGATTAGACTAAATAGTCCACGGTTCAGACTCTAAGGGCCTGATTTTCTGTGCTCTAATTTCTTTGACTTGTGTGATAGGAGTTAAACAAGGTGGGGAGTCAGGAGAGGAAACTGACTATTATACGTGACATTTCTGCAATATGTTTTAGAAAACAATAAATTCAGCTCTGCAGCACAAGAAAATTCAAATTCTACAGATTATTAAATAAAGGTGATTCTTATTAAAATAGTATGATTTATTAGTGCAACTAAGTGCTTAATATACAAAAAAAAGTCTGACCTCAATTAAGTGCTACTCAAGTTTCTGTTAATAAGGGATTAGGGTTAAGCAACAGAACTGTTAATATGAGCCAGTTATTATTGAATGGATCACTCCATAACTGGAGCTTATTATTGTAAATAAAGAGAAAGGGATTAAGTCCTATTTTTAGGCTCTAAAATACACAAGGCTTCTCTTACAAAGAAACCAGGGAGTGTTAACACACTCCCTGGTTTCTCATCCGAAAGGGTGAGAACTGTCACATTTGGGGTCCAATGTGAGGCTCGAGAATACTATGAGGTCAGATAAGAGAAGCTTGAACTAAAAATTAAGAGTAAAGGTACCATAGAAGAAAAAGATAGATAAGGAGGGGACGCCTTCCCTTGAATGCAATGGAGTGAATAGAAATACTAAAGAGAATAAATAAGGAGAAATGCTGCAGCAAGACAGTGACAGAAATAATGGGAAATGAGAAAAAAGGGAAAGTGTTAACGGTACCTAAGATTCCAAAAAACACACTGAAGTCCGAGAAAACCCAGTGGGAAGAACAAACCACTAAAAGAGGCTGGTTAGTAACAATCAGAATGTTACTTATGGGAAAGAAAACGAAGATTTGTGTGATAGGAGGAATACAAGGTGGGGAGTCAAGAGAGGAAATTGACTATTATGAAAGCTGTGACAGAGAAAGATAAATTTCAGGAACAGGTGCTAGAACAAATACAAAAGGCAATGAGACAGACTGAAGCAGAGAAACAAATTAATTTTGAACCAGTAAAATTGAACCCAGAACTGAAAGTAATTCTCGGCTTCACATGCCACAACCTCAATAGAACAGCTGGCTAGACTAGGGCGAGAAATAAAGGAAAAACAAGGAGGGAGAATAATGGGAGAAGGGTCATTCAGAATAGTTGAAGAATGGCCAACTCCTATTGTGGCAGCAAGTTTGGATTATGCGAATGATACTAGGTCCAATTGGGACCATACGAACGATGCGAGATCACAGACAGGGGAAACAGTGTGGTCCTGGGATACCAACTGGCACCAAGAGGAGGAAGAAATGTTAGGATATAGACAAACTCATAGAGCTAATGAGAGCAGGAAGATGAACCACATATCCCGTGCATAGAGAAAGGATCAAACTGGACAAATGTAACCCAGCAAAACTGGGTGTAGAGTACCTTGGCAATATTGGATTACTTCTTGAAATGGAGTAGGATCCTAAGCAGAGGAAGAGAATAAAGGATATTAATGGTGTTGGCCTGGGGTCAGTTGATAGCACTCTGAATCGCTGAGTCGAAGGTTGTGGGTCAAAGCCCAATGTTGGACTTTGAACTTATAGTTTAGGCTAATATTCCAATGCAATACTGGGGGTGTACTGTATTGTTGAAAGTGCCAACAGTGTTAAATTGTTCAATTGGGGTCCCGTCTCCCTGTTCTGGTGGATATTAAATATCTCATGGAGTTATTTTAAAAGAGAAAGGAGTTTCTCCCAGTATCTTGGTCAAAATTCCCTAAATAAATTGAATCATTGATTTCATGGTTGCTTGTGGGGCATTGCTGTGTGCAAATCGGCTGCTGTGTTCTCCTATAAAATGCACAGTCACTACACTTTATTATAATATTTACAGCGCCTTGGGACGTCCTCTCGATGTGAAAGGCGCTATACAAATGTAATTTTATATTGTATTTGTAATATCCTGTGAAACACTTTCAGACGTCTTCCCAATGGGAAATTCCCAATTATTACGTTGTCCAATCCCATCTTTGTGAAGTGCTCTGAGATGTTATCTTATGAGAAGGGTGCTATATAAATGGAAGTAGTTGTATTATTAATATTATTGTTTGCATTCAGTCATGGTTTTGCAGGTATTGAAGTTCTCTGTACCACACACCAGAGGGCAGTAAAACACATCAAACCTTTGTTGGAAGCTATGGATGAGCACTTTTAACAAACATATTTGAAACTGGATAGAAATTTTTCTCTCTGGTTTCTGTTAAGGGTTCTAAGTGTAATGGGTTTAGCTATTCTTAGTGCAATTCAGATTAGGGATAACATCATTTACAAATTCAGAGTTACCAGAAGCTCACATTTTGAGAGATCTAAGCAAAATACATTTTTTTTTGCTGCTGCTGCTGCAACAGATAGTGCTTTCCTAAGTTTGGAGTCCAGGCATAGTGTTTGGAAACTGCAGATAGAGATTTTGAAATCGAAAGATACTTGGAAGCATAGGGTAAATTCTTGCTCTCCCTAGAATTTTGCTCCTCACCTGTAGAAGTAGACGTAATTTGTTTAAAAAAGTGGTTTGCACATTTTCCAAGAGATCTCTTGATCTATCTGAACATTTTAAATAAACAATGAAGATTGGATGTAGAGAATCCAATGAACAAATTACTTCAGTGATTTCCTGAAGTTTAAATGCTGTCTTGTTATTACTGAAACAGGAAACATATTGGTTGAAACTTTCATGAAATCAGCAAGCTTGAAAAAATGTAGCACCTCAGCACCTTGAGACATCCTTCCAATGTGAAAGGCAAGTTGTTGTATTCATATATAAACTTATACAGATATAAATTTTAATTTTACGACAGCATATGAAAGATTATTAACTGATCAGGATCATTTTAACAGAGATAAGAGTTATTTAATTACACAAAACTAAAACAAATATTACAAACCTGTAAGGATGTATATTCCAAAATTTAAAAACTAAACCACTATATAATATATTATACTATATTAAAGACTGATGTATCAAGACTTTAATACTCATATGAATTGTAAATTGCAGCAGTAAAATGCATGCACGTGTAAGTGATATACAAGAAACCATTGCATGTCAAATTGTAATGGCCTGTTGGTGATGGCATTTGATTGTTGAGTAACTAATTGAATATTTGGGGTATTTCCATCTGTTTTATTTTTCCTTTTCAGAATCTCTTTTAGAATCTCTCATAACCCAGCTACTGTGACCACCTTGAAAAAGATAGTTTCAGTAGCATATTAATTGTTAAGATTACAATGTAAATGTAATGGGTGGGAAACAATTCAAGCTCTGTTTAGAAACAATGTTTATGGGTGGTTCAATAAACCAAGAACATTAAGGCACCATTTTGTATTGCTCCTGATGAGCTGGTCATGTAACCACCTCTACCATTTAACATTTAAAAGTGTTCTTATATGTGCAATGTGCTATGAAGAACAATCAGACAAGTTAGAGCTCTTCAGTCTTAAAAGGAGATGTCTAAGAGGAGACCAGAGTGTATTTCTTTACCCAGGAGTTAATTCACAACAGGAATGGGTGACCAGGTAAAATGGTTGAGGGTATGATTCTTGATGCTGTAATGGAAGGATGATAAGAGTGGGTATTCTGGAAGGACGAGAGCCTTTCTTCATCTAAACCTCTTGTGATGACTCACTCACTCAGACCCTACCGATGTGATTTAAGAGTAAGGAGCATAAAGGAGACTCACCTGCTCCAAATGAACATATTGCTTTGTTTCCGGCAGAATGAACAGGACATGAATAGTTCCCTGTCCTATATTATTTCATGCAATGAAGTTATTACATATCTACACTTCTGATCACGGATAACAACAACAACAAAATGACATTTGTAGAGCGCCCTTCAAGTCGAGAGGACATCCCAAAGCGCTGAACAGTCAGGTGTTGGGGCCCGAGCATGGGGGAGAGGGTTGGTGTAGGGGTGAGGGACAGCAGAGAGGTGGGAGGCAGACCAAAGGCACGGTCGAAGAGAAGGGTCTTGAGACCGGCCTTGAAGAAGGCAAGGGAGGAAGTGAGGCGAAGGGACCGTGGGATGGAGTTCCAGAGTGTGGGGGCAGAGAGGCTGAAAGCCCGGCCACCGATGGTAGGGCGGGTCGGAGCAGGCTAGAGCCTGATTAGCGGAGGGAGCGGGCAGGTTGGTAGAGATGCAGCAGGTCAGAGAGGTAGGAGGGGGCAAGGCCATGGATAATAATAATAATAATCCTTGCATTTGATATAGCGCTTTTCACGTCGGGAGGACGTCCCAAAGCGCTTCACAGAACACACTGTAAAGTGAATTGACTGTATATTTGTGGGCGAACGCGGCAGCCAATTGCACACAGCAATGTCCCACAAACAGTCGTAGATTGAAAATGACCAATTTATTATTGTTTTTGGTTTTGGAGGGATTATTATTAGGCGTGTGGAGTAAGGAAACTTGCCCAAGGTTTCGCCCTGCCTGGAATTGAACTCAGGTCTCTCGCTTGCAAAGCGAGTGCTCTAACCACTGAGCTACAGGACTCCACGATGGCCTACAGAATGGCCTTAAAGGTGAGGAAGAGGATCTTGTACTCGATCCTCTGGGGGATGGGGAGACCCTGGAGTAGGGCGAAGTTGGGAGTAATGAGGTCGCGGAGCCTGGTGAGGGAGAGTACACGAGCTGCAGAGTTTTGGATGATCTGCAGCTTGTGAAGGGAAGAGTTGGGAAGGTCGATGAGGAGGAAGTTCCCGTAATCGAGCCTTGAGGTGACGAATGTGTGGGTGAATAAACAGATTCATTACAGGAATTTGTTTTTAGTATGGCAGAGTGGCTCACGGTAACACAAGTGAAGTGGGTTAGAGTGATCCATTACTATGGAATGTTGTCCATTATATAAAATATTATGTTTCATTACTATTTTTCTTTGCCATGCTTTGAGATCTTTATCCCACATGAAAGGTACTATATTCTGTAGGTGCATGTTGCTGTAGTAAACATAACATGAAACATTCATCCACCTGCAATATTATCTTTGTATAAATGATAATAAAATGCATGGCATCATTAACTAGAACAGTAACACAATGTGCCATTTCTCAGTTTCCTCCATCTTTCTAACCTTTAAATATCCAGGAGATCGTCTCCACTTTCGTCACTTTCCACAGTTAGTTGACGAGTCCACCATTTCTTCACCTCTGATCCAGAATAGGCAGCATCTAACATTGGGTTCATTTTACACATAACTGATTTAATGGTTGTACGTCCTCCAAAACGTAGATTGACAGTTGACACAGAGTGACTAATAGGTTTAGGCGCTGAAAGGCGAAAGAAAGATCCACATAAGCAACTTTATTTTGAATGAAGACCGCATTACACTTTGATTAAGTTAAGTTATTATAAAACCTTTAAAAGTTTCTGTTACGTGAACAGTATTATATTGTCTGGGTTTACTTTTCCAATCCAATTTAAAATTTTCAGTGGTAATTCTATTATGTGAATCGTGCTACAGATATGTAACTTTACAGCGGTAATTCTAAACAGTTATCACAGATGATTCCACACACCTGATGGGAGACGCCACTGACCAAATTTTCTTTGAGGTTTTCCAATATCTGTTGAGTCTTGGCGATATCCACCTCTGTCAGAAAAGGTTGGACTAAGCAGCTGTTGCTGACTACTTGCCTGTATAGAAGATAGAACGGAACAATTATTGCTAATCTAAATATTGCACGCAGGGTGTTAACAAGTGATTTACATTCAAAAATTTTGAATCTATCGATTAAGAATTACCTGGATGTACTGGAGGCATACTCCGCCCCAATACCCTGCTCAATTCTAACATTGTGAGACCAGGTCATGGTTTAGTTTGCGGCTTGCACATCTCATCTTTCAACTCCCAGTTAATGGGATAGTTGGTTACTCTGAGTTTGTTTTATTTAGTAAAACGCTTGAAACCTGCTAACCAACAATCAACTGTACCACCTGGCTTCATGGATGTCAGTATTAGTGGGGAGAAAAACTTCCTGCCTCAAATATTTCTGAGTAGTTCTTAATCAATTGCACATTCCTGAATCTAAATTGCTTGTTAGATACCATTAGGCCTGACATTCCACTTAGTGCTAGCTATATTTTGTTAAAAAAAATAAGATTGTGCAGAATTGTGGAATATTCTGAAATTCAGTCTTAATTTCCCACAATTTTAAGAAGAACCAACTTCCACATTAGGTCAGAATTTTAGAATGTTATACATTTTTTCAAGGAGTGTAGAGGACTCATTCTGGTCTGCTGTTTGTTTTGGTCAGTACTGACTACTGTATTTATATCTATACTAATAAAATGACAATGATTGATGTAGAGACATGAATTATACCTCACCGGAAAGGTCTTGCATCTGTGAGTGCCATGGGCATATTTCTTTTTGGGTATCTCCTATCGTTCATGAGTTATGACCTAAAATGTATTTCAGTTTTGTGTTTTTTGTCGCAGTTACGCCTGGTGGCCGCCAAATCAAAGTGGTACTGTGGCATCCTGGGTCACAGAGCACTCATGTCACCAAGCGGAGGCGGGAACAAAATGAAGAACACAGACGAAGCTAAGCCTCAGCAACAACAAAATTACATTTTTAAAGCGCTTTTCACGTTGGGAGGACGTCGCAGTGATTATAAATTATACATTCATATTTATCATTGTAAAGATGCCTAAGCAAAAATCAAACCTTTCAAGGAAAAGTAAAAATGCTAGACAAAAAGAGAAGGCCCATTAAATGAAACTGAAGTGCAGCTGCACTTCAATGTTGAAAGGACTGCAACAGTGTGCCAAAATGAGTTGTCCACTCAAAGAACAGCACAGCCAAAATGAGTCATCCCACAGGAGTCTTCCCAGATAAGTATAAAGATGAAATGTCTGTCTGTGTGTCAATCTACATTCCATATTGGATCCTTTGGTTGCAAGCGTAGCTGCAATGGGTACAGCTACTACCTATATAACTAGGTAGAATAAATAATGTTACCTGCCGCTATCACATGTTTAACAGTGCAATAATAAATTTCAGAAAATTCAGTCTATATAATAATGGCATTTTTCGCATTGAATTACTAGAAGATGATATAAGAATGGGTGCAATTATCCCTCAAGGGGAACTTTACAATAAGCTACTCTTGGTTTTGCTGGTGGAAATTCACTTCTGCCCAAATTTTCTCTTTGCCAAATTAGTTCGAAAAGATTAACACAGCTCAGTGAATGGAATTTGTGTCTGTTCTTCTTTCAAAGTTGTGCAGTGGTAACTGCACCAACATTGTTTGCAAGATTTTTAAAAGGGTCTTTCATGGATGACTGAAATTATATTCTGCCAAGGCCAGAACTCTAGGTCATACTAATTGCTCAAGAGACCAAGGGAACAATTTTTAGTAGATGGTGGAGATAAGATCAGCTTCCATTTGGAGCTCATCTCAAATGATTACACATTCACACTGCTTCTGCTTCCAGCAAGCATTTGTTCACTTGTTTCAGCTATTAGCACCATGCAACAATGTTAATGCAAAACTGACTTTCACTGATCTTGCACACAATTGTAATAATATTTTCCCTCTCTCATTTTCTCACTCGATCTCTATATATGAGCACTAAGCAGCAGGATTACAAGACAACAGTAGGGCGCAGGAACTCTCTGATGGTTTCTCAGTAGTCCAAGACACTGAGGCAAATTGTGGCTTCCCCACTACTGTCCCAGTTAAAATCATCAAATTCAACATACAATGGGGATTGAATCTGGGTCCTCCAGGTTTGTATAGCTCAGCTTCACACCAGACTTCAGCTTTAATAACTAATTCACTTGGTAAGCCCACATTTACAATTTCACCTCGTGTTGAGCTATTGGTTCCAATTGAAAATGTCAAAACATTTCCCATTCAGATAAATGTGCCCTTACTGCACATTGTGGAGTCCTGTAGCTCAGTGGTTAGAGAACCCGCCTTGCAAGCGACAGGACCTAGGTTTGATTCCCGGCAGGTTTCCTTACGCTGGGCAAGTTTCCTTTCTCCACATGCCTCTGTTTACCTAGCAGTAAGTAGGAACCCGGTTGTTAGTTGATTGGTGGATCGCTTTTCTGGGGGTAATGATTCTTTCAAAATCCATTTTTTAAATGTAAGAATTTGGTGACTGAATCCACGATTGTTTGTGGGACATCACTGTATGCAATTGGCTGCTGGGTTTCGCCCACAAATTATATTGTCAATTCACTTTACAGTATATTCTGTGAAGTGCTCTGAGATGTCTTGAAGACGTGATAAGGCGCTATATCAAATGCAAAGGTTATTATTATTATACATGAACAACTTGACAAATCTTGAATTTACATTTAAAATTATAATTATATGTATCTGGATATATTAGATATTGATACTGACTAACTTTACTGTCATTCACGGCACCTCATAAACGAAAAGAGAATACTATTTCACACAACAACAAATTCCATGTGTATAGCACCTTTCACATCAGGAGGATGTCCCAATCACTGGACAGTCAGGGATCCGCACCCTGTCTGGTTGTTGGGATCAGGAGGGGTGGAGGGCGGGGAGGGTAGTGGTAGGAGGGTGACCAAACGCATGGTCGAAGAGGTCTTGAAGGAGGCAAGGGAGGAGGTGAGGCGGAGAAACTATGGGATGGAATTCCAGAGGGTGGGGGCAGAGTGGCTGAAGGCCCGCCCGCCAATGGTGGGGTGGGCAAGGTGGGGGACGTAAAGCAGGCTGAAGCCCACTGAGCGGAGGGAGTGGATAGATTGGTAGGGGGTTAGGAGGTCACAGAGGTAGGGAGGAGCATGGCCATGGAGGGTTTTGAAGGTGAGGACCAAGATCTTGAACTGTATACTCTGAGTGATGGGGCGCCAGTGGAGCCAGACGCGGATGGGTGATAGGGTCACGGAGTCTGGTGCTGGAGAGGACACAGGCTGCAGAGTCTGGATGATCTGCAGCCTATGGAGTGAGGAGCTGAGGAGGCGGACAGCACAGGAAAGGGGAAAGACACACCTCTGGCTGAGTTTCGTTATCTTGGTTGCTGGCAAGCATTTCCTCACTGGCCTGGGTTGTCTCAATGCTGGGAGGGATAAGGAATCTGCTCAGCTCTTGTTGCTGACTCTCTCGTAAACTGTGGATGATGCTGCATGACTGTTGCTGTTTCTGGAGGAGACACCGTAACACTTATTAAGAAAGAAACAAGCCGTATCATGCAGCGCTCTATCACTTCAGAATACAGTATATCAAATCTATTCACAAGGAAATACCGTCAAGTGTTCTTTGTAAGCAGCCTTTCAGTCAGCACGTTTGTACAAATCCCAAGGCGAATGATCAGAAAATCTGGAGGTTTGTTGTCAAGGACAGAGGGGAGATGAGGAGAAATATTTTTACACAGAGTTGTTACGGTCTGGAATGCACTGCCTAAAGCTGTGGTGGAAACATTCAATAACAACTTTCAAAAGGGAATTACATAGGTACTTAAAAAGGAAAACAATTGCAGGGGTATGGGGACAGATTGAGGGAGTGGGACTGATTAGGCAGCTCTTCCAAAGAGCAGCTCTTCCAAAGAGCTGGCACAGGCATGATGGCCCAAATGGCCTCCTTCATACTCTATGATTCTATGACACTAGGGAGAAATCGGAGAGAAGCCTGAGAGATGAGGCCAAGGTACCAGCCCCAGGTAAGTTCAGTACCAATGAACACAATGGAAGTACTGAACGCCCCCATGTCAAGTGCTTCTGATAAACATTCAAACAAATTCGAATTGCCAATTACCACCACAGTTAATCTAAGTGCAGCAATTTCCTCGTGTAGGATAGCTCCCTGAAGTAGTACAGGAGTAACATGTATTGCATAAAAGCCAAGATTCCTCACTATAGACACAGTTAAAGTAATAAGTTTTCTGTTCTACAGGAGTGGGACTTTATTAACTGTTGTAATGGATTCTGGAAATGCAATGGATACTGGTATACTGTATATGCACTTTGGAAACAACTCTGTACATTTTGAAATTATGTGATTGGCTAGATTCAGACAGGGAAAGGCACTTTCTTGCTTTATTTCTTAAGCGTTTTAAGGGCAACCTTAGATACATTTAACAGGCATTCTGAAATTAAAATCAATGTGTGGAAAATCAATTTTATATTGCTTATGAATGTGTGTAATTCTGCCAGTACAAGCTAAGTCCCTAATTGAAAGAGAGAAATGTCCTTTGCATTCCATTGTGCCATTGTTATCCAAATGTAGGATATTAAATGGGTTCAAAAAATGAAGCATTCAATCAAGAACTGTTGTCACTGATTGTTCAGCTTCATTCTTCTATTTTTCGAGGTCCACTGAGGTTCAATCTAACATCTTTCAATGAGCTGGTNAAAAAAAATCTGATTGCTGTGGCAGTCTGGCAGCACAAAGCTATTAGTCAAAGCATTCATGCAGTAAAAGAGCACTCCCACTGTTCAAGTCACCCAGAGCCAGCCTTAATTCTCCATTCTTTGGCAGATGCTGCTTATCTTTCAAGGGAATATGAAAGAAAATCTGAAACAGTATTTGAAAGCTATTTTTCATCACCAGCTCATTTTAAGAAATTGCTGTTTCTCCCCTGCATCTCTTTCACGGGTACATTGAAATATAGTTTTTCAGTCCTGTTTTGTTGCCTTTATTTTTCTTTAAACTTAAAAAAAATCTCTCCATACTAAATGAAGAGGAAACAAATGCTGGGCAAAGAGTTACAGTGATTAATAATAGTCCAGTTGAGAAACACAACAATAGAGGAACAGGAGGAGACGTTTCAATCCATCGAGTCTGTTCCACCAGTTTATTAGAATTTGGCAGACATTTTAATCACAATGTCCTATCCTTTTAGCCTTTAATATCTCCAAGTAGGGTGGATGCCGGTTAAGCCTGATACATCGGGATGGGCATTTGGTCTGATTTAAGAGGTGTCCGAGGTTAATGGTTAATATCATTCCCGCCCATCAGAGGAGCTGCAGTGGCCCTCTATAATACGTAATAATGTGTCTCACTTAAAGCAATGTTAACTAACCAAATAGGACACCAAGTATTTTAACCTAGGAGTTGAAGTTAAAATACTCTCCCAGAATTCAGTAAAATATATTTACTTTTGTTTGGCTGCAGAATACAGTGCAGTACTTTCCTATCCAGCAGAGGAGCGGAGGGGGTCTGCCTCCCATTGCCATTCCCAATGAATGGGAAGGCGACAAATTAGAGATGGCCTGAGGTGATTGACAGGCTGCAGCAGCTGGTGAATGTTTGGGCTTCACCCAGTCACAAGATGCTCAGCTGTCAATCAATCATGATATTCCCTCCCCTGTTCTTCCCCATTTCTCCGCCCCATTACTGATTGATAGCACAACTCCAGCCACTTGTGAATGGCTGGAGTCTGATGCCAATCACAATTTGACTCCTCCCATCTACATCCGGGAGTTCCTCATGGCTGAATGGAAGACTGCAACTGTGGCTTCCTGTAGCTCAATGGTTAGAGCACTTGTCTCACAAGCGAGAGACCTGGGTTTGATTCCCAGGCAGGCGAAATGTTGGGCAAGTTTCCTTACTCCACACCCTTCTGTTTACCTAGCAGTAAGTAGGAACCCGGTTGTTAGTTGATTGATGGATTGCTTTCCGGGGTTAATAATCCCTTCAAAAATACAAAACTAAATAAATTTGGTTACTCAGCCCATGACTGTTTGTGGGACACTGCTGTGCGCAATTGGCTGCTGCGTTTTGCAACAAAATATTCAGTCAATTCACTTTACAGTGTGTTCTGTGAAGCGCTTTGGGACGTCCTCCCGACGTGAAAAGCACTATATCAAATGCAAGGATTATTATTATTGTTCTGTAAAGTCCTGTAGCTCAGTGGTTAGAGCACTCGCTTTGCAAGTGAGAGACCTGAGTTCATTTCCAGGCAGGGCGAAACCTTGGGCAAGTTTCCTTACTCCACACGCCTAATAATAATCCCTCCAAAAAAAAAAAAACAATAATTAAATTGGTCATTTTCAATCTACGACTGTTTGTGGGACATTGCTGTGCGCAATTGGCTGCCGCGTTCACCCACAAATATACAGTCAATTCACTTTACAGTGTGTTCTGTGAAGCGCTTTGGGACGTCCTCCCGACGTGAAAAGCGCTATATCAAATGCAAGGATTATTATTATTATTATTATTCTGTGAAGTGCTTTGAGACGTCTCGAAGACGTGATAAGGTGCTATATCAAATGCAAGGAATATTATTATTATTGTTTTAAAACACACAGAAGCTCTGAGTGAGTACATTCAGCGGCAACCAGTACTGCATTTTGTCCGGATTAACCAGATTTTCATCCAAATCAACTGGCATATTTAAACAGGTAAGAATGCAAATGCATCGGGACCGGACGTTTTGTTAGATTTACCCGATGTCCAGGATTAACCGGCATTGGGCAAAAGCGGATTCCACTGTATATGTCTTTAGCTTTCTGGGCAGAGCATAACCTTTCCTTTTTCAATTGTTATAATTTTGAACTGCTCAGTTCTGCATCTTGCCAACACCCTTCTCAGAGCAGGCAAGGTGCTAAAGCAGACCTCTGAAATTACCAATGTGAAAATCTATAGCATGGTCAGGCCCAAATTCAATCTTGCCTGGCAGGAGTTACTAGCTGTGACTTAGTGACTATTTAGGAAATGCACAAAGCAAATAATGCATTTCAACTCCATTTTTGAGTATTTTAAAATGTTTTCTTCGTAATTTAAATGCTCATCTATTAATATTATCTAGATGCTGTTGTGGCCGTACTTCAAAGAGGAGCAATGCATGATCTCTGAGATTCATTTCTTTGCACAAAATAACCAACTGTGATGCTGATTCATTATTTTCAGTTCTGTGTACTCTCTGGTTCCTCTTGAAGCTTCTGTCTCCAATCCCCATTCACTCCATACTTCTTATACCTTTATATCTTTCAGCCCATTCTCTGAAGTCACACACGCCTCTGTGTCTCCTTTCTTTACAGCTTCCATATCTCCCCATGTTTCCACTTGCTCAATTTGTGCCATTTTAGTCTCTGTTTGTGCTACTTTTTCATTTTCAGTAGAGCCGGAGGAAACAATATTTTATTTAGAGGGATTTCAGTCCGGAGCCACACCAGGATAGAAATATTGGATAGTGTTGTGGAATTTCAAAGTAAAAAAGAAAAAATGGACTATTTTTCTGTGAAAATCATGTACATTGCAATAAAATCAAAAGAATTGGAAGCATAATATTTTGTTGAACCGAGTACAATTTTATCAGCATTGAATAATGGCTCTAGGTTGAACCATTGTTTTACCCTGTAAGTAAGACAACTTGACGGCTCCCAATTGAGACAATCCTTTAAAGAAAGTAGCAGCTTCACTGTACTGCATACACAAACATTTTAGCTTTTATATAACCCACTTACTTTTTCTGTCAGCAGTTATTAATCAGTTTCCTTCAAAATGACTTACTGCTCTTATGCGTTTCAAACATTTTTTCAGCCACATTCGTATGGTCTGTTTAGCCACCTCTTCTTCTATAGTGTATTCAAGCTGCTCTCTAGCTAGTAGTTCTTCCAGCTGTAGGCTTTTTCTTATATCAACAGATCTGTATGAAAGCATGCTGAGCAAGGCATACAGAATATTGATTACTGCACATGTAAAGCAAATATCACTAAGCCTATCAGAAAATTAATTATCCTGAATTATAACTTATGTTAAGTCTATAACAAATAGATTAGAACAGATGAAAACAAAACCTATGAATACAGATTTCTAAAATAAAATCTGAAATTAGTGGAAATGCACAGCAGGTCAACTAGCGTCTGAAACCGAAAGGTGGGTTAACATTTTTGAATGTGGCCCTTAATCAGAACTTCCTCAATCGACTTTGTACTTTGTAGGATTGAGGAAGGCAAATTGGACCAGACCAGATATTATAAAGAAGTTTTAACATTTAGAACGATTAACCGAATACACAAAGCGTCAGCTGATAAATCACACGTTAATGTGTCACTGTGAAATGCTGGAAATAAGAAAGTTTGAATATTCAAAGTGACTGAACCTCCATTGTGTTTCAAGAACGCAAATTCTGGCAAGAGCACTACCATCGAGGCAAGCGCAGTGCCAATTGAGCCAGCCTGTATAGCGTCATTGGTTGATGTGCTTAGAATAACATAGTAACAACAGCGCTTTGAGACGTCTTGAAGATGTGATAAGGCGCTATATCAAGTGCAAGGAATGTATATATATTATATAACAGGCTGCATTTCTTTACTGTTTCGTAAATCGTTAGTGCGATTTAATTGTTTCCAGAGTTTTGGCAGTTTTGGTAAAAATAGCAAACTTATCCAGGATAAACCTGATTAAGAATTGGATGTACTATTAACTTGGGATACACAATAATTTGACAATTTAAAATCTTTATAAATAGTACCGGGAGGTGGGGAGTGGGGGGAGGAATATGCTCTGCAATACCTGAGCACATCATGAAATGTGACATCGCCACCATTATGCAGCCTCTCCATTTCATAGCACATGTGTTTGAAAAGTAGCTTATCCTTCTCTAAGTCAACTTCCAGCCTTCCACGGAGCAATCGCAGTAAGAACTTCACACGGGATGTTGGAATGACTCCCTGAGGATCAAAGCAGAGACGTAAATATGATGCAGATGTGGAATACAAACACAAAAAATAACAGCAGTTCAGCATTGAAACTAAATTTAGCACTGTATTGAACACAGGATTGGTACAATCAAGTAAAGAAACAAAGTCCAACGATTACCTGCGAATACCCATATAACTGCTAACTACTTCAACGGTCATAACTTGCACTTACATGGTGCCTTTCACATAGGGAAAATAACTTGCATTTATATGGTGCCTGTCACATAGGGAGAATCTGAGATGGGAGGGATGGCTTGAGGTTTACCATAATGTTCCAAAGCTCTCTATATTCGGGAATTGTGCCCTTGGATTGAAAAATTGCAAATGTTACTCCATTCGTTAAGAAGGGAAGGCAGTAAAAAAAACAGGTAACTACAGAACTGTCAGCTTAACTTCATTTGTGGGGAAGTTACTAGAATCTGTCATCAGGGAGATTGAGAGTGACTGTGCACTTGGATAAGTATGAGCTAATCAATCATGGATTTGTAGGTCATGTCTGACAAATCTCATTGAATTTTTTGAGGAAATCACTAACATGGTGGATAAGAGAGTGTCTATGGATGTCGTCTACGTGGATTTCCAGAAGGCATTTGATAGGGTTATGCACAAGAGGTTATTAACAAAAATCAAAGTGCATGGAATCGGACGTAACCTTGCGACGTGGCTAGGCAATTGGTTGGGAGACAAAAAACAGAGTAGGGATAAAAGGAATTTTCTCTGATTGGTGGGACGTGACAAATGGTGTTCCCCAGGGGTCTGTACTGGGACCTCAGCTTGTCACCATATATATAACGGACTTGGATGAAGGAATAGAGTTTTATATCCAAATTTGCACATGACACAAAGTTATGAGGCTCAGTAAATTGTGTAGATGGGAGCAGGAAGTTACAAAGGGACTTAGACAGATTAAATGAGTGGGCAAAACAGTGGCAGATGGAACTCAATGTGGGGAAATGTGAAATCATCCACTATGGATCCAAAAATAGCAAAGCAGAATATTTTTTACATAATGAGAAATTAAGAACTGTGGAAGAGCAAAAAGATTTGGGTGTCCATGTATACAAATCATTAAAAAGAAGCTCACAGGTACAAAAAAGTTATCAAAAAGGCTAATGGGATGTTAGCCTTTATCTCAAGGGGGCTGGAATATAAAGGAGAGGAAATGATGCTTCAATTGTATAGAGCCTTGGTCAGCCCCCTCTTGGAGTACTGCATTCAGTTTTGGGCACTGCACCTCAGGAAGGATACATTGGCTCTGGAAGGGGTGCAGCACAGATTCACCAGAATGATGCTAGGGCTTAAAGGGTTAAAATACGAGGACAGGTTGCATAAACTTGGTCTCTATTCTCTTGAGTTTAGAAGGTTAAGGGGTGATGTGATTGAGGTTTTTAAAATAATAAAGGGATTTGATAGGGTAGATACAGAGAAACTATTTCGTCTGGTGGTGGAATCCAGAATCTTAAAACTGGAGCTTGGCCATTTAGGAGTGAAATCAGGAGGCAGTTTTTCATCCAAACGGTAGAAGAAATCTGGAACTCTCTCCCTCAAAAGGCTGTGGACACTGGATCCATTCACATTTTCAAGACTGAGGTTGATAGATATTTGTTAGGTCAGGGTATCAAGAGATACAGGTCAAGGGCAGGTAATTGGAGTTGAGATACAGATCAGCCATGATCTTATAGAATGGTGGAACAGGCTTGAGGGGCTGACATGTCACTTCAATGGGAAGTGACATTGGTAAAGATCTGAAGACTTAGAAGTTGGTCATTTTCCTTTTAGCGCAGAAGCCGTTAGTCTCTGCACATGGACAGTGAGACTGGCTACCAAGCCTAGTTATACTGTGCCTCAGAGTTTATTGATCCCAAACGCCATACTACAGCCAGACTGTAACACACATTCTAAATTGTTTTAGTTTACAAATTACGTGCCTCTCTTTTGTCATCAACCATATTCCAAATAATTTGAAAATGCCGAAGGTCATTGTAACTCAGCAACTGGTCCTCTTCAGTGGAGTAAAACAATGAGAAGTTTTCCACTATGATAGCTGGTGGAAAGTACACAGAAATAAAACTTTACGCAGAAAAACCAGGAACATAAATGGTATTATCATTCTTAATATTCTATTATAAAAATTGAACTGTACTTAAACCACAATTGATTTTCCTTCTAAATGCTGTTAGCCCCTGCGCCAAGGCAACTTCTGTTTTAGAATTTTAGAATTGAATAGTGGTTTATAAACTATCACCACAAAACATTTGCGTCAAGAATGTTGTAAACTGAAATCTGATATATGTATACAACTAAGGATTACTCTGTGAATGAATTGGAATATACAACACAATCAAAATGCTGGATAATACAATGATAATATAACCCATTTTGNTTTTAGCAAAACATTTGTTTCTGTCAGGTAAGAAGAACATATTTTCCGATAACATTCCACTCCTGTCACATAAGGTGAATCCAGACAGAAAATAAGTTTACGTAAAGGAAAATGAAGCTGAAATTATTATGAATGATAAGCAATTACTTCTACAATACAACTCATATATTTGTATAAGACAATGTACCATATCTATGGTCAATGTTTTCTGCTCATAGAAGTTAAAAAGGGATCTTTCTCCATTTAAAAATCAGAGTTCTGCAATATCCAACTCATGCTTTTATTTTGAGATTGAAAGTTAATTATCATCAAGCAAATTGCACTCTGGTTTGAAACATAAAAACAGGCCTACTTACCAACAAGCAAATTTAACATTATATATGCAATGATGACATAAAATGAACAGAAGTACATAAGAGCTCCAGCATAGTGTCCACAGTCTGTTTCCCAGTAATTCTCATCATCATGAGAGCAGAAAGGTGGCTGAACCTGCCAGAGACATGGAAAGAACTGTCAACATTTTGCCGCCATACACCTATAGATAATACACAATTACGCTATTATATTCAATTATACGTTATTACAACAACAACAAAATTACATTTGTATAGCGCCTTTCCCTTCGGGAGGACGTCCAAGGCGCTGGACAGTCAGAATTTCAGACACGAGCTGTGGGTTGGGATCAGGAAGAGTGGAGGGCGATGGGGAAGCAGGGTGATCAAAGAGGAGGGTTTTGAGATGGGTCTTGAAGGAGGTAAGGGAGGGGGCGAGTTTGAGGGACTGCAGGATGGAGTTCCAGAGGGTAGGGGCAGAGTGACAGAATGCCCACTTGCCAATAGTGGAGTGAGCGAGGTGGGGGATGTGAAGCAGGCCGGAGCCCACTGAGCAGAGGGAGCAGGCAGGATGGTAGGGGGTTAGGAGGTCCTCCCGATGGGAAAGGCGCTATACAAATGTAATTTTGTTGTTGTTGTAATAGCGTATAATTGAGTATAACAGGGGGGAGCAAGACCATGAAGGGCTTTTTAGGTGAGGACCAGGATCTTGAACTGTATCCTGTGGGATGGGAAGCCAGTGGGGGTGATAGGGTCATGGTGTGGGAGAGGACATTGGCTTCTGGATGATCTGCAGCCTGTAGAGGGAGGAGTTGGGGAGGCTGACAAGCAAGGAGTTTGCACAGTCAAGCTTCAATGTAACGAAAGCGTGTATGAGGGTTTTGGCGGTCTACGGTGTGAGACAGTGATGGAGACTGACAATGTTGTGAGGTAGGGGAAGGCAGAGCAGGCAGGATGGTAGGGGGTTAGATGTGGGGTAGAAAGGATAGTTGAGGGTCAAACAAGATGTCAAGGTTCCGGACTAGCTTAGTGAGGTGGAATGTGCATCCATGGATAGTGATGTGGTGAGCACCTGAGGTGTGGAGGCGTTGACGGGAGCCAATCAGGAGTGCCTCGGTCTTGTTGACGTTCAACTGAAGAAAATTTGCTTTCAGCCAGGACTTGATGTCTGACAGACATTCTGTCAGGACAGCAGTGGTCCTGGAGTCAAGGGTGGAGGCAAAGAGGTACAGTTGGGTGTCATCCGCGTATATGTGGAAGTTGACTCCATGTCTGCGGATGATGTCACCAAGAGGGAGCATATAGATATTGAAGAGGAGGGAGACCAAGGACAGAGCCCTGAGGAACGCTGCACAAGATGGTGCGGGGGTAGAGGCGAAACCATTTGTGGAGATGAAGTGGAAGTGGTGTGAGAGGTACGATCTGAACCAACCAAGGACAGAGCCATGAAGGTTGAGGTGAGAAAAGAGACGGTGGATGAGGATAGAGTGGTCGATGGTGTCGAAGGCAGCAGAGAAGTCAAGGAGGATGAGGAGGCAGAGGGAGCCCTGGTCACAGATGGAAAGAATGTCATTTGTCACTTTGACCAGGACTGTTTCTGTGCTATGGGTGGCACGGAAACCCGATTGGAAGGGTTCATGAAGGGAGTGGTGGGAGAGGAAAGAGCAAAGCTGGGAAGCAACAACTTGTTCCAGGACCTTGGAGTGGAAAGGGAGGTTGGAGATGGGGCAGTAGTTTGAGCTATATTATACGACTGATCAAACACCCTCCTCGCTGGTCTCCCCTGCTCCACTATTCACAAAATTCAACTAATTCAAAACTCTGCTGCCCGTGTTCTCACCCGCACTAAACTTCGTACCTCCGTTACCCCAGTCCTTGTCAAACTTCATGGCTTCCTGTATTTAAATCACTTCACTCCCTGGCACCCCCCTATCTCTCCAACCTGCTCTCTCCCTAAACTACTACCCATTGTCTCCGTGTGAGGCGCCAATAACTCGGTGGATTTGCCATTTGAGTGTTCTTGCACCTCCAATTTATGTACAAAGCTCCTTACTTAGAGCTACGTTTGGCTTCTGCACATGAAGAAAATAGTTAAACAGAGGAGTCAGTATTTTTCTAGCTGATTTAAAAAAAACCTCCACAACAAATGATAGATTACAAGGCAGTCTAATATTTCTTATAAGGAAAAAGTGACTCACCATGCAGTCATGCATAATTTTATTCCAGTCTTCCCCCGTAACAATTCTAAACAGGACTGTGATGGCTTTTCCAGCAGAGGAGAAGTTTGCATGTCTGCACAGCAAGAATTGCAGAATACTTTAGTAGATGCATGTTAAGTACCATTGAATTGCTTAGCTTTACAAACTTTAATTGCACCATCTCTATTGTAAACGTTAATTATTTGCTGGAGTCTATTCTGTGCAAAAATTATAACTAATTTATTTTACTCAGCTCATTAAAATGGTGTTATTCTAAATTCTTCATGGAAGTAATATGCAGCAATATTAATATTATGTAGGAAGTTTCAGACAAATCTACAACATTGCTCCATCCAACTTTCCAAAAGTTTCTCTTATCACCTATTAATCCTGAATACTTCTAATACCTAGGAACATATCTAGTTTGCTGCACACACATATCTAAAAAAAAGATAACTTACAGGAATATGGGGATAAGGCAGATGAATGGGACTAAATGGATTGCTCTTTCAAAGAACCAGTATAAATACAATAGTCTGAATAACCTTCTTCTGTGCTGTAAATTTCTATAGTTCTTTCTAAACTAATCGCTCTTTAATTTACTTTTGTTGTCCTTATTTTGAAGCCATGATCCATTGGTCTTGAGGTTAATGCATAGAGGAAAGCTTTCAGCTAAAGTTGACAAGACAGTTATGTAAGGAAAGGATAAAACAAAATGTGACTTTGAGTTAAATTGCTGCAAGAAGCCATCTAGTGACCCTGGTTTTGTTGTTATTATGAGGCAGAGACTGATACACAGGCTGTTTACTGAAGAAGCTCTTATTGTCTGACTGTGAAAATGGCCTTGAGGCCCGGTGCCTTGCGCAGAATGTTTTCTGGGCCTCTAAGAGGGGCCAATGGATGCGGTGACTGATACCAAACATCACGTACACAGACTCTTGGGGATAAAAGAAAGAAGTTTAGTTAGGTTCAGAGAGAGACACTTTAAGAAAGGAGCTGGTATGCTATCCTCTCCCAGAGACGGTAACTGATCATAATCATAATCTCTGAGTTGGTCGCCACTATTATACTGTTTTAATATAGAATTGTTGTTACTATACTTGACTATACTTTATATTTTAATTGAGATTTTATTTTGTATGTTTGATTGCATTCATTCTCAGCAAAGAAACAATTTGATTAAAACCATTACTGGTGTTGTTATTGTCTCGCAAGTGATCCGAGTTGGTACCCTTACCAAATTACATCTGGAGAAATACTAAATCTCTGAAAACAAAGTTCAGACTGTACAACAGCAAATTCATCCTATTGCATTATCAGCAACAAAACCTATATAGAAAAAACCTTAATTGACTTTTGTGACACTAGATGGATGAATTCATTGCTGGTCCACTGAGCTTACAAGAAAAACATCCCATAATGTATCATTGACGAAAACCCAAGGAGACGATAGGCACTTCCCTACGGGAAGAAGGCATATTTGTTTCCTAAATGCCGGATAAGGTTGGTATACCTACCTGCTCTCCAACCCAAACAATCTTATATTACACAAAGGAGAAAATACAATAAGGCAAACATTGGAAACAAGCTGTTATTTAAAAAATGGTGGGGCAGTGGAGTTGTTGTATGACTTTGTTTCTGGTATTCATGACAATCCTTTCTCTCAAAGGTTACTGTATAAATGTCCCAGATGTAGTATGGATCTCATTAGAATAAATATAAATGTAAAAATCTAAATTTTATTAAAAATATGCAAACCTGTTAATATTCTCTCCGTATTTTACGGTTCCAAAAAGAACAACTCCCGCAAAGGCGTAACAGAGAAGCAGCAGGGACATTCCCACAATAATGAAAATACTCTTGTACATGCTGACAACCACTGTCAGCAATAACATCTTCAGGGTTACCTAGAAGCAAAAAGATAGATTTCCCTCTCCCCAGATTACAAGTCTTTGTACTCTTAGAGCACAATAAAATTACAAAGTACAGAAAAGCCAAAGGACCAGACATAAAATATCATCATCATGAAATTATTTTGGGAGTGTTTCTACTTAATGAAACAAATGTTTGAGATTTGAATTTAAACACTTTTCAGATGTAATTTCAAGAAGAATGTTCTTTTTTGCAATGCTCATGCTTTTTATGTAAATCAGTTAATATGTTACCTGTAATAAGGATTAACTTCAATAAATTGAAAATGCCTGAGTGAGGCAGATTACCTTTAATGTTAATTAAGGTTTAATGTTACATTTTTGTCAATGGGAAAGAAAGGTGGTTTGTTTCCCTCTGTGATCACCTAGCCGACTGCTGCTTTAGACATGAACCTGAAATAGGGATGGTTGAATTCCTTGAAGAAACCAGAGATCAAACCCCTGCCTCTTCAGGTCACCAAAGATGATGGACATGTCAATCCGTACCATGACTTCTTGTTGTGGTTGTCCGAGAGAAACAAACAAATCAAAGCAAAAACACAAATGAATGCAATGAATGGGCATGAAGCATGTTCAGTACAGTCAATTCATTCAGCACTGGACACAATGAACATGAAAAAAATGCACAGCATGTTTTAGCACCACAGATAAATGGAAGGCAGGCAGCCACATGTTTACTGATTTCCAATCATGGCATGCTGCACTGAAATGCAGAGATCTAAATTCTTCCCAAGTACTCACATGCTTTCCACAAATGGAAAAGAATCGGAACACAATTACACAGGCTCCCATCATGTATGTGTATTCATTCTGTAATTTATCAAGAGACTGATTAGGAAGGAAGGGATCTTTCAGTTTTATTAATAAGATTTGGAGACCATATGACAAGCAATGTCTTTCTGAAATCTTTCACCTGGAGTAATTTGAGCATCGGGTACAAACTCATTTTCGCTATGTTGAAAATGAAGTGACACCAAACTGCTTTAGGTCACTCTCTTCATTGGTATCCTCTGACAAAGACCTATGATGCTGCATGATTCATTATGGTTACAGCAACCCAAAGATCTGCAGGCATATCATGTAATGATCCACTTGTCAGTCCTTTCCAACAAGTACTGTAGATTTTTAACAGAGTCCAACTTCCCCAAATATCGCTAGAACTAAAACGTTTACAAATTGGCTAATAAAACCATGCCATTCTGCTTCTCTCTCTGTGGATGTAGATGTGGAGTTTGAGTGGGGCAGAGAATATGAAGCAATTTAAATTCTTATCTTATGTTCCCCTTCCAGAGTTAATTTCCATATTCATCCACTAAACAGAATGTTCACATTGGGGTGCAAAGTGAAACACTGGATATCAGAATTATTGCCAGTGATAATTATCACTTCCTCAGATTTTACACTCCTGGGAATGTCACAGTTGACAACTTGACCATTTGGGTAAACAACTCTCCCCCACCAATATTTGGGCCTGAATGCCACTTGTGACAGTCATCAAGCCATCGCAAAATTTATTTCAGTATTGGTTTGCAGAATACAGCTTTAACTTGTCTTTCAAAATTGTGCACTTTGAAGATCAAGCACAGCATGATTCAATGTAAAAATTGGAATACTTAACATCAACAAAGATCTTCAGTTCTAAACTCAGAAATGCACTACCTAGTGCACCAAGATGACATTTTTCACTTCTCATGGCATGATCATTCTAAGGCCTTTCGAGAACATAATCACCAATTTCGTACCAAAATAAGAAGTTTCTGTGCCTTGTGCATTACACATCCTGCCAGAATAGAGGTGATGTCTGAAGCAGGTAACAAGGGGAAAAATATTTGCCTATCTCCCTCCCAGTTCCTTCTCTCCCATAAACCTCAATAGATATTTACTACATTTTGCTCCACCCCATATTAAACATTGCATTGCTTGAAAAAGTAACAAGGAAGTGTTTTTATTCTTGCACATGTATTTGTTGCCTAATTCTACTACAAATAATAATAACCCTTGCATTTGATATATCGCTTTTTCACGTCATTGAGACGTCTCAAAGCGCTTCACAGAGTATATTGTAAAGTGGATTGACTGTGTATTTTTGGGCGAAACTCAGCGTTTGGCCTAATAAAAGCCTAATACTCTTTTTTAACAAAGAGAGTAGGAATTAATTTGCTGGACAATAGAAAACCTCAACAGTGTATTGATCACTAGATACACTAATTCTTTCTTTGGTAAAGAGCATTATTTTTATTGTTGGATGTAAATTAATTCTTTAAAATTGCCAAGGAGAATGCTCTGAATAGAAAACTTGAATAATTTAAGGGACATTGCTTTTCGATAAATTGTGTGAATAAGCAAATGCTTGTAAATAAATGCTTTCAATGATGACTCACTGCTATGTTTTGTACTTTGTAAAACAAGTATATATATATATGTAAGCCTATAAAAAAGATCAATAATGTTCTTTGCATTCAATATAATACCTATAACATTGAGTCATCTTAAAACGCTTTATAGCAATTACAGTAAAGTGCAGTGACTGTATTGGTTGGTTAACACCGTTGCCAATTTGTACATAGGACAAATGGCTGCTGTGTTCACCAATAAATACAGCACAACATTTAAAGCGCAAACCTTAACTCTAGTTGGAGTTGTGCCCATAAAATACACAGTCAATCCACTGTATTCTATGAAGTACTTTGAGACATTTCAACAATGTGATAAGGCACAATATCAAATGCAAGGATTATTATTCCAATATTCCAGAAACAGCCAGGAAGTGAATGACCAAATTAAATGCAGTATTTGTTGGTGAGGACAAGAGAATAAACTATGTTTTTCAAACAGTATCAGGGTTCTTTAAAATCTACTTGGAAAGGCAGGTGAAACATTGGTTTAATCTATCATCTAAAGATACATCTAAAAATTTGAATAGTCCTGAGAAAAATTGCAAAATAAACCTACTGTGGCAGTAGGCAGTAGTTTTCAGAGCAACCTGTTCTTGTTCCAGGAACTAAAATGCCACTCTGACTAGTTGGCACTGTTCCAAAGTTTACAATACATAAATGTGTTAGCCTGGTGCAGTGATAGCACTCACACTTCTGAGTCAGAAGATTGGGGGTTCAAGTCCCATGTTGGGACTTGGAATCACATATTTAAGCTGACACTTCAATGCAGTGTTGGGGGTGTTGCATTGTTGGAGGTGCCGTCATTCAGATGAGATGTTAAATCGAGGTTCCATTTGCCTGTTAAGGTGGATGTTAAAGATCCCATCGCACTATTCAAAAAGAGAAGGGAGTTTCTGGCCAATAATCCTCCAAATAAAATTGGTCACTCACTCCACGGTTGTTTGTGGTATATTGCTGTGCACAACTAGCTGCCGTGCTTCACCCACAAAAATACACCGCCATTCCACATTATGGTGTTTCCTGCAAAGCTCTTTGAGATGTCTCATGATGTGATAAGGCGCTATATCAAATGTAAGAATTATTATTTATTATTATTAAATGAGACGGAGCAGATTACTTACTAGTAAAGCAAAGTGTAGTATCACCCATATAACAGCAAGTGATGTGACCAATAGATCATAACGATTTCGTCGGCTTTGCCAAAAACCAGCTGGTGACATAGCAGTGATCTTCATGGTTACCTGAAACAAACAGATAATGTAAAAAGATTGACTTGTGCTGGTACAGATAAAAACTGAAGCTGAATATGAAGGTCAGGAGTTTACTTACAAAGCTTATTGCACAGTTTTGTGAATGTGATGATGGCAATAGTGACTTTCACATTCACCAAGTGATATGTCTAACATGAGAATCCTATGATCCCTATATTACATTTCATTATAATATTCACTCATAATCAAATTACTGTTTCTAGTAGTCTCTGAAACCATTCTTGCAATTTTAATAGATAGAACTGCATGACCATTTTAGGATTACATTTTGGTATTCAGTTGATTGAAAAAGTAACCCCTAGAGCAGTGGTGGCCAACCAGTAGCCCGCGAGGCCATCAAGAATCACCGTCCACCCCGCCCAGACATGCGCACTAGTCCAGGTGAGTCTGCTTTAAAACAATAGTGTGTTTCCAGTTTTTCTTGATTGATACTTATCAATCAAGAAAATATTATTAATAGTGGCCAAAAAAGGTTGGTCGTCATTGCCTTTGAGCTTGTTTTCAGCCAGGCCAAAAAAAAATAAGTTAAGAGTATCTAATCCTGACACAGGAGACTGCCACCTGTCACAATGTCTTTCACGGCAGGAAGCTCAAAAACCTGTAATGGTCCACAAACACTGTCATGGGATTGAGATAATACAGAGAAGCTGCTCTGGCTGAACTGCCATCAAACTCAGGTAGATAGACAGAGAAAGACCCACTAACCAGTGGACAAAACTAGAACCCTACCCCCTCAATAGATATACTAATAATCCTCACATTTGATTTAGCACCTTTCGTGTCAGGAGGAGGCCTCAAAGTGCTTCACGGGATATACAGCACAGATTGTATATTTTGCAGATGAACATAACCAATTTGCACACAGTAATGTCCCAGATGCATAAAGTGAATGTCCAATTTTGATCCAGAGGATTGTTGGTTAGTACAGTGGGAGAAACCCTCTTCCCTTTTCAAATAGTGCCATGGGATCTTTAATGTCTACCTGAATAGACAAGACAGAACCTTGCTTTAGCGGCTCATCTGAAAGACAGCATGTCCAACAATGCACTCCTCCATCAGCACTGCACTGGACTGCCAGGCTGGACTATTCAAATTCCTGATGCGGGATTTGAAAGCCCTGACTTAGAGAAGAGAGTACAATCAACTGGGCTAGGCTGACAGTAATGCCATGAAGCAGCTGCCACCTACTATCACACCTAGATGTGTTGCCAATAAAATTCTACCACACTAATGTGTGGAAAGTAAAGATCACAGAAGAAAACTAGCAGAAAGAAACATTTTCCTTTCCATTCTTCCATCATTCCTGGCTATCTGCTCCTGCAGAACTAATGAGTAAATGGAGATGAACTAATTTTAAAAAGTGAACTTGAGGAAAATATCTAGGGGAAGTCATTCAGCTTAGCTCTACTACTTCTTTAAAGGAGACCTATTGAAAAGTAATTTCACATTGCATTATCCTTTTGTTCTCATTATAAACCAATATAATCTTCTCAGCACATAGAAGTGTTACTTCAAAACATATTGACGATTAATTTTTCATTTGAAATAAACAGGCTCACTGTTAACTATATGTGGAAGAAAATCTTCAAGGCATGTTCTCTCACCAATACATTTCCAAGACAAGTAATATAACTACTGAACAGGAAGAGTATTTTAACCTGATTGAGAATTTGAGATTTAACAATTATAATAATCATAAATTAGCTGTGCTGGAGACAAGTTAACTGCATTCGTGTTACCAAGGAACAATCTTCTTTTTCTCATATCTAAAGCTGACCTAAGTTTAATATTTTTCAAACTTTTACACATTTACTTTGAGTTTTGCATATGCTTCATCGTCATCCTTCTGTTTTCCTGGTTTCAATTCCTTTTCAATGATTTATACAACAACATGGTTTGTCAGCTAAAACAAACCTTTCTGTCATGTCAGTCAACTAAATTGATCTGCCACTAAAGGAGCTTTGGCAGCTCTGGTTACATAACAATGGAAATGAGGATTATCCCAGTCGATATTTAATATCTGTAGGAAACAACTCAACTCATTTTGCAGAGAATAGTTAAAGTGCTAAAAGTTATGTTACCTCAAGAACAAAAATAAATGTGAAAACAACTGACATGGTCGCTAAAGGAACTGTGACTGGATCATCAACATCCCACTGTAAAATAAACAAAATATTAGTGCCACAATGTTTCAAGACAGTCTACAAACACTAATATATTTTCAAGACTAGTAATTGAACAGAAAGAGTATTTTAACCTGATTGACAATTTGAGGTTTAACAATCAATAGTTCATAAATTAGCTGTGCTGGAGACAAGTTAACTGCATTCATGTTATCAAGGAACAATCTTTTTTTCTCAAATCTAAAACTGACCTAAGTTTAATATTTTTCAAAGTTTTACACATTTGTTTTGATTTTTGTAAGACCTAAATGCTTCATTGTCATCCTTCCGTTTTTCTGGTTTCAATGATTTATACAACAACATGGATTGTCAGCTAAACCAAATGAGTCTGCTCTTTATGGATTGGTTCCGGCAAGTCTTGTAGATTAGTCTCTTGCATTTTTTCAGGCTTTCAATTCAACAAAAGGTTTGAAATGCACAGTATTTTCTCTTTCCATTTATGAAATTTCCAATTCTGGTATTATAATAATAATAATCCTTGCATTTGATATAGAGCTTTATCATGTCTCAAAGTGCTTCACAGAATATACTGTAAAGTGAATTGACTGTACATTTTGTGGGCGAAACACTGCAGCCAATTGCTCAGAGCTGTTTCCCACAAACAGGAGTGGATTGAGTGACCAAATTATTATTTTTTTAATTTTTATTTTTGGAAGGGATTATTAACCCTGGAAAAGTGATCCGCCAATCGACTAACAACTGGGTTCTTACTGCTAGGTAAGAGGCGTGTGGAGTAAGGAAACTTGGCCAGGTTTTGTCCTGCTGGGAATCAAAACCAGGTTCTCTCGCTTGGGAGGTGAGTGCTCTAACCACTGAGCTACAGGACACCACCAATTATCTCACCAATGTTAATCAATACATGTCTAGAATGGTACTTACCTTTACTGAAAGCAGCACAGACTGGGCCAGAACCAGTACAGCTATGGATCTCTTGAAGAACGGATGCTGGGTAATATCATACATTTTAGCTCTGAAGCCATCATTGTCTGGAAACAAAATAAATACTTGTGGTTTCAACAGAGATGTTACACTTATAAAGTTATAAAATACGTTTGAATTTTTAAAAAAAAATTAATTCAAAAAGCAGTTCAAGGCTTTAACTTCATATTTCATTTAAAAAAAATGTCTTACTGAATTCAACAAAGTTTATATGTTTTAGACTATGGTACACTGCAAGTTTATTGGGGCTTGTTTTTTTGAACACTGGTAAATTTACAGTCCTTTCCAAGCACATCTTAATCTCCACTGTTTGGTAAATTTACTGACAACCAGAAAACCATCCAGTATCTTCAAAAGCTGGAAAGTTTTGGGCTGAGAGTTGGAAAGCTTTAAGTAATAGTGTGACACACCTCTGCCTGGTCGGGGAGGAAGATGAAGTGGTTGAGCAATCTTTAATCTGCTCTTCAGGTCTTCCCATCTTCTTTGGTCTACAGTCAGTAAGGCTGTACCCTATACATCAGGAAAACAAACAAGCTATTTTTTAATTTAAAATCACTGCAGTTTGAAATAACTTATTCATACTGATTTAAAGTTTTCAGGTTAATTATTGCAAATACTTTGTTGTGGAGCAACATTTCAATCTTTTATGATGTAATGTTTATTGTGAAGTGATGCAGTATCTTGTTTAAGCTGTATTTCTTAAAAAATAAAAAAAATTTGGCTAACATTAAGAGGCCCAGAGGCAGATATTGAGGCTAATATTGTGGCTGAAAAGGTATTGCAATTTCCAGACAAGATGGTATCTAGAGTTCCTATGTAGAGATATATGGAAAGATTCTGACACAATCTATGCGTAAATATAGCAAAAGACATATGGGAAGCTACATTTCAGCAAAGAGTCAGCACCTTCAAAAGAAGAGGGGGAGAAAATTGGAAGGAGAAATCCAAATTTAAAAAATGAATGTAAGAAATGATTAATAAGATATTTTAGTGGGGATGGGTTATGAATTTATTCAGTTTCATTATGAGGAGAACATTAAATTAATAATCCTTTTATTAACATTTGATATAGTAACGTACCCCTTCTAAATATTTTAAAGTGCTTCAGAAATTTTGTAAACTATTTGTAGGTGAACATAGCCAATTTGCACGTTTGTCCCACAAACAGTAGCAAAGTCAATGAATAATTTTTTAACTGTAATTTTTTTGGCCAGGACACTATGAGAAACTCCCTACTCTTTAGAATAGTGCCATGGGATCTTTAACGTCCAACAACAACATGCATTGTGTCAGCCTAGCTCAGTTGTAAACCTTCTGAATTTGAGCTCTTCGTCAACAAGTTGACACTCCAAAGCAATACCCCCAGCACTAGGTGTCTTCCAATAAAATGCTGCATTATCAAGTGTCATCCTTTGGATGAGACGGTAAACTGAGGTCCTATCTATGAGATCATAGGGCTTGAATCCACAACTTTCTGACTCAGGGGCAAGAGTGCTCCAACTGGGCCAAGCTGACATCGGCATTGTGTTTGCTTGCCTCTTTCTCACTGAGCTCATCAGAAAACAAATGACCTCTTTCCATTGTACTCATGTGGTAACAACAACAGCAGGATTACATTTGTATAGCGCCTCACGTCGGGAGGATGACCCAAGATGCTGGACAGTGTATAGCATTTCAGACCCGAGCTGGGGTCAGTGGGGGGGGAGAAGGGAGAGGAGGGGAAGGCGGGTGACCAATGGCATGATCGAAGAGGAGGGTTTTGAGGTGGGACTTGAAGGAGGCTAAGTTGGGGGGCGAGGCGGAGTGATTGGGAGATGGATTTCCAGAGGTTTGGGGCAGAGTGGCTGAAGGCTCTCCCGCCAATGGTGGGGCGGGTGGGTCGGGGGACGTGGAGCAGGCCAGAGCCGGCTGAGCGGAGGGAGCAGGCAGGTTGGTAGGGGGTTAGGAGGTCACAGAGGTAGGGTGGGGTGAGGCCATGGAGGGCTTTGTATGTGAGGATCAGGATCTTGAACTGGATCCTCTGGAGGATAGGGAGCCAATGGAGTCGGGCGAGAATGGGGGAGATGGGGTCACGGAGTTTGGTATGGGAGAGGACACGGACTGCAGAGTTCTGGATTATCTGCAGCCTGTGGATGGAGGAGTTGGGAAGGCCGACAAGCTGGGCGGTGCAGAGTCGAGCCGGGAGGTGATGAAGGCATGAACAAGAGTTTCAGCGGCCTGAGGGGTGAGGTAGTGGTGGAGTCGGGCGATGTTACGGAGGTGAGGGAAGGCAGAGCTGGTCATGGCTTGGACGTGGGGAAGAAAAGACAGTTGAGGGTCGAACAAGACACTGGCTTGGTGAGTTGTAGTGTGCAACCATGGAGCTGCCAGAGCCTGAGGTGCTGAGGCTCTGGCATGAGCCAATCAGGAGGGCCTCAGTCTTGTTCACATTCAACTGTAGGAAATTTGCCCTCATCCAGGACTTGATGTCCGACAGGCAGTCTGTCAGGACAGCAGTGGTCCTGGAGTTGAGGGTGGAGGCAGAAAGATAGAGTTGGGTGTCATCCGCACACATATGGAAGTTGACCCCATGTCTACGGATGATGTCACCAAGGGGGAGCACGTAGCAACATGTAACAACAACAACTTGTATTTATATAGTGCCCTTCACGCAGGGTAGCATCCCAAAGCCCTTAAAAGTATTCACTGTATAAAGGCTGCAGAATGTAAATCTTAGTAAATATTGAAACCTGCTGTACAGACATTCATCAGAAGATTAAATGACACTACTGTATATAGTATTCAACTATTCATGCATAATATACACGTGGGGTTAGGATCACAAATTGTTATTCAAGTACACAAATTGAATTACATTTGTTGTCTTTGTTTTGTACACTTAAAAAAATGCATTTAGTTCCACATCAACTGTCTCAATAATTACCACTGAACTTACCTTATTTTCATTGAAATTGGCAATAACAACTCCAACAAAGAGAGTCAGTCCAATCATGCAGCCAAGAAATACAAAGACATGGATATAGATCCCATGAATCTGCATAAATAGAATTCCAAGTTAGATACAGTATTAGTAAAATATTCCAAATATTATTACTATATTATTCATTGTTTTCATACCGGCCCCACTCGATGAATAATGACATCTCTGACTTCAACCCAGCCTTTTAGTGACAGAACTTCAAACAATGCCAGCAATGCACTTCCAACATTGTCAAAATTGAAATTTCGAGGGTTTGCCCTAGAAAACAGTAGACAACCTATTTTTGTAAAACACACAACAAAATAAGAAACGATTCTTCAAATAATGGCCAATGCAATTACCCGAAGCATTCTTCAATACTGTCCCCGGTCATTTTTAAAACTAATCCAAGATGAACTTGGCATGCAGTTGAAATGTTGTATAGGAATACTTAGTATACTCTAACCAAACTAAGGTTAGATGTATGGCCAAGTACCCACAAACCTAAATAACTGCAACCTGGCATAGGCTTGGGCACAATTGATATTATAATAAATTTCCCCATAACGCCACATACTATTGTGAAACTGGACTGTGCTGAGTTCACTGACCTGTGCCAGGATGGGCACACATGAACCTCGGCACCCCTGGACACAATTGACCTCAGCACCCCTGGTCTAGGAAAAATAAATTGAGCCAGGTTTCCTTGTTCCTGATTACTATCCAGTGTGATCCCTAGAAGGTATGTGGAGATCAAAGCTTGCATGAGGCATGGCTGTGATGCCCCTTCGCGACTGAATTGCCTACCCGGTTAACACATTAAGAATCACAAGGAGGAGACCCTGGAGAGCAGCTGATGCCTATGGAATCATACACCAGCATCAAGCAGTGGCAAGTGAAGATGGGAGAATTTGAGGGCAAAAAAGATGGCATTTGTTGTTAATGCAGTAAATAATCGGAACGGCAGTCAATGTAATACATAAAAGTACAAATCCAAATGTGGCTTCTTTAGTGCCTTATGTTGATTCTTTTCTCCACAAGATTCTACTGCAGTATATTGTTGATGTGCGAAGAGATGAAGAAAGAGGCATGTGTACAGCAAGGTAATGAGTGACATACATTTATTGACATACAGACACAATTCACCATGGACAGGTAATACGCTTCTCTTGCTTCAGAATCAGAAGTAGATGAGTCTAGGTAATATAATTCCTATAGGAAAATAATCAGATTAATTTTAATCCCTGTTTATGCAGGTTTCTCTAAATTGCAATCTTCAGGACAAGCTTTAATAACCTCCAGCACTCCTAGCTACGAAAGCAAATAGGAGGACAGCGCTTCTTTAGTTCATTCCTCAAGAGATTCCATTGATGGCAACCTTACTCTGCCCTTTCTCTGCAGCAAGCAACCCCTTCTCTCACCGGAAATCACTGCTCTATGCCAATTGCTTTCTGGATCAATCATTTAGTTCCAAGGTGCATCATTTCAACTCATGATTGGCATCACTGTTCCCTTAATCTCATTAACCTCTATAGTTAGCAAACCCTCTGACTGCTGAAATATTGCAGGCTACCTCCTCATCTTTCTATGTCTTAACTTTTCCAGAACTCACTGTTAATTTATTTTCACTCACTGCCAACCGCACTCAACCCTTATTGTTGTAACTGTAAGTTTACTATTAAAATATTGGTATACAACCACATTCTTCAGTTTATTGGAGACCTGCTTAATGGGGTTATTCTCCTCATTAATGTAGAACAATGGTTGAGGATGTGTGGCCAAATAGTCCTTGTTGTCATGCTAATTAACCCTTGAAAGATGACAAAACTTAATGTGGNAAAAATTAAACACCAATCTATCACAAATGGAGTTAATTAAGCATGCTAATTCTCAATAATATAAATAATTATTTCAATTAATTAAAGCACTATATAATAGTTAATAATAATAATCCTTGTATTTGATATAGCGCCTTCTCAATGTCTCAAAGCGCTTCAAAGAATGTCTGTAAAGTGATATCACTATGCTTTGTGGGTGAATCGCAGCAGCCAATTGTGCACAGCAGTGTCTCACAAACAGTCATAGATTGAGTGACCACATTTTTTAAAACATTTTTTTGAAGGGATTATCAATGGGCATCTCCGTAGATTGGGAGCCTGGTTCTCAAGCCACATCATGAGTTCTCATGAAGGGTCAGATCTCAAAAGTAACACTTTTCTGCTTTCTGATCACTGTGAAATCACACTGTGCAGTTTTCCTTTTTGTCTCCTCTACATAAATTCCAACTTTATGAAACTTTCAAAATAGTTTCTTGCATAAACCTTTTTGATATGTGGTGTAACAATAATAATATATAGTTTGCTGGGCAGAATGGTTTGTTGACATGATTTTGATATGATCACGGTGATAATTTACAGTGGATTACCAGTCAGCATAATTGGTAACAAGGCCCATACGGTTCTAAATTTGACAGTTTAACTATGCTTTTATGTCTTTTATGTTGCCAGTCAATGTAACTGTCACCAGTATATAAGATGTAAAACTTGCTTGGCGAAAGAAGACCAAGGTTCATCCAGTTTGCCCTCCACCATCCTGACAGTCACATGACATGTAGTGTCGCAAACTATATACTGTATCCCGAGATATTATTTCCTAACAGAAATCTATCTAATTTGTTCTATAAAGAATCAAAACTTTCTGCTTCCACAGTCTTCCTAGGGAGTCCGTTCCATAGTTTACTGCTCGCTCACCGAAGTAGTGTTTCCACAGATTTATTCTGAATTTACCCACCTTCAATCGCAAGCCATATCCTCTGGTTCTACTGTTTGGTACCAGATAAAACAGCTTATCTTGGTCTACATTATCTATTCCCTTCAGAATCTTAAAGGTCATAATCATATTACCCCTTAACCTCTTCTCCAGTGTGAACATGTCCAGTGTATCTAATCCTCCTCATAGTCCAGTCCCTCTATCCCCTCAATCATTTTGGTTGCTCTCCTCTGTATCCCCTCAATTGCTGCAATATCCCTTTTGTATTGACAGAATTGCACACAGTATTCCAAATGCAGTGGCGCAAGGGATTTATTAAATGGCAAGATTACCCCACTATTTCGGCTCAGTAATTGAGTCATAAAGCCTTTCTTTGAGTATGTATATTTTATATTTTCAACTACAGCTTTGTAAATCCAATTATTTATTATTTCAACATCTGTTGCAGGTACATGAACGTAGAAGTGGCAGTGAAACTCTGCTTTATGGCTATTCAAAGTGGTTATTCTGCTCTGTACATTCACTGACTGTATCACATTTGTTGTTATGGATTAAATGATATTTTGCAGAATTTGTTAAGTTTAGCTGGAGAAAACGTAATGTAATTTCAAAGCTATCTAAATTTACATTTTAAATTTCCTATTTATTTATAATTGTACTGCAGTTATTATAAGTGCAAAGAGCCAAATATGCCAATTGTAATGAATGGAGAAGAGCAGATTTTAACCCCATCAGTTCCTTACACAGAGCGCGCAGAGAATTCACCACAAAAGTAATTATCTAAATGAATGATTCAGGCTGATATTATTTACAAGTATAACTTCTTTATGAAGTAATCAATCATAATTTAATTCTGATAAGAATTACTTTAAATGTATTACCTCATTTATTATTTTAATTTAAGAATGCTGGACTAGTAAGACCAAAGTAAGGCTTATTTTTATACGTCTGTTTTCCTTGCTTGGTGTCTGGAGCGCAGCATCTTTCTATGAAGCAAAATAAATCTATGGCTATTTTTATTTCAATTGTCTTGCATTTTATGCACTTTATCCTAATAAGGACTTTCACCCACTCCAAATTTCTGTCCTTCTTTCCAGAAGGTTCTTATTCAGCCTAGATATGGTTCCACGGTGCCAGTCACCCTTCATTACTTGCACAAGAGGACACTCTTCATGCCTGAGAGATAGGAGACAATGCAACTATGATTCAGTGTTGAGCCCAATACAGGACAATCCTGTAGTTTAGGGATTAGAGCATTCACCTCGCAAGTGAGAAGACCTGGGTTTGATTCCTGGCAGGGCGAAACGTTGGGCAAGTTTCTTTACTCCACACGCCTCTGTTTACCTAGCAGTAAGTAGGAACCCAGTTGTTAGTTGATAGGTGGATCGCTTTTCCAGGGGTAATAATCCCTTNAAAAAATGTTCAATCAATCCACGACTGTTTGTGGGACACTGGTATGCACAGCTGTGCTGCCACATTTCGGTCACAAAAAATATACAGTCAATTCACTTTACAGTATATTCTGTGAAGCACTTTGAGATGTCTCGAAGCTGTATCAAATGCAAGGATTATTATTATATTACTGTAAAGCAGTGTTTTTTGGGGCACTGCTGAGGAGAAATAAGTGTTTCCATTACCTTTTACTGTGTCTGTCTTCTTAACTACTAAGAAGGGCAAAATTTGGGTTTGTAGATAACTATGCCTTTAAGTCTTGAGAAAAGATAAAGCTCATCCCTAGAAGCAACCACAGGATATATCAACATGCACATGTCTATAATGCTGGTTACCAATTATGTGTGACCAATCTTTTTATCAAGAAACAATTTATTCAACTACATCACAGGTAAACTCATTTGGAGGTAATCTACAACGAGGGCAACATTTAATTTAGTTAGATTCTCGTCTCTAGCCTTTCATTCATCTCATTTCTTAATATTGTTGGGCCTCACCATTTCTTTCACTTACCAAACACGAGGTACCCAAAAGCCCGGCTTTTTTTCCCCTGGTTTTAGCTTCAGATTGAGATTCTTTGACACACTGACATTAATCCTGAATATTCCAAAGCAGTCTTCCTAAAATACATGGCACAGAAATCATTTGCAGGATGTTCAATCACTTACTTTAAAAATGATTAAAAAAAGAACACAAAAAAATGAAACATGTGCATGAAAATCTGGCAAAATATCTCATTATATCTCAAAACATCTCAGATTTCAAATCAAATAAACTATTCTGACTGAGAAATGAACTCTACGACTGACTATAATTATATGCTTATGTTAAAACTAAAGAAAACTACTAATAATAGTGGTTTTATACAAAACATATTGAACCAAGTATTTCCATTGTTGTTAATTATTATTGGAGAATCTTGTTTGCTGGGCACACTAAAGTTCTATGTAGAATTTTATAGCTTCCGTATCAAGTTTGTAGAAATAAGTAGTTCAATAGCATGTTTATACAAAAAAATGTGCTTGAGACACCAGAATTAGCTATTTTTTAAACTAGCTTCAACTAGTGAATAAAAAATAATTTTGTAAATGTAATAGGCCTCAAGAAAGTCCAAACTTCTCTTGAACATAATAAAACGCTAAATTTCTTCTTGTTTGAGAAGTAAATATGAGCCCAACTCCAAACAATTCTTCCATGAAAGTTATGCAAAACATAAGTCACTATTGTCTCTGATTGCTGGAACTCTTTCCCCAAATCCCACCGCTGTGCACCTTCCCTCTCTGCTTTTAAAACCCATCTAAAAACCTACCTATTTCTCTATTTCCCACCTTAATCAGGTTTTCATTCCTCTGTAAACAAAAACAGAAGTCGCTGGTAACACTCAGCAGGTCAGGCAGCATCTATGGAGAAAGGAAAGTGAGTCAATGTTTCGAGTCCACGACCCTTCGTCAGGTCATGGACCCAAAATGTTGACTCACTTTCCTTTCTCCATAGATGCTGCCTGATCTAATGAGTGTTCCCAGGGACTTCTGCTTTTATTTTCAGATTTCCAGCATCTGCAGTATTTTGTGTTTTGTTTCATTCGTCTGTAAAATGCTTTGAAATAGCACACACAATGTATGTGCGGGTCGTTTTATCTCACAAGTGGACACAAAGAGGGAAATATTTGGGAGAGACCAATAGATCTCTTAACACTCACGGAAGTGCAGCTAACAAGATAAATTCCCTTATTGACATCAGTGAGGCATGCTGACTTTATTTCAATCATTAACTGGGTATCACAGAAGTAATTGAATATTCATTGAATAGCTCAGGCATACAGTTCAGGATTTCAGCACCACAGCTTAGGGAGAGAATTGTGATTAGATCTGCTGCCTTCAAGAATTTTTCACTTCATATCAGCTTTCGCACTTTGTTTAAAAGACTTATCTGAGGCAGATTTTTCTACTTTAACAATATTAACGTAATATGTAGACGTTCATCTTCCAAAACAGGTTGCAAACTTAGCAGGAGTATACATAGAATTCATTAATATTTAAATGATAGTTGATAGTTTATGAAAAGCAATCATAATCAAAGCTGAGCATGTGTTAGTCACATTTCTAGCTTCTGCTTATAGAAATTGCACAATTTCTGGTAGTTTCTGCTTATAGGAATCAAGTTCTGAAAGGCCTTTTGAATTGTAACACATTCATATACCAATTTGTCAAGAAACAGATAATAATTGAACACTGAAGTGAAAACAATACTCAAGAAATCTAAAAAGATTTACAATGAGGTTATGAGCAATTCCACAACAACAACAACTTGCACTTATATAGAGCCCTCTATGCAGGGTAGCGTCTCAGAACGCTTAATAGTGGCGGAGCCTGACTCCGAGCTGGAGTGAGGGAATGGGGGGGTGACTGTAGGCACGGTTGAAAAGGAAGGTTTTCGGCGGTACTTGAAAAAGGGGAGAGAGGGGGCAAGGTGGAAGGATTGAAGGAGATTGTTCCAGGGTTTTCTGCCTAGTCTTAGCCAATAAAACCATTTTATTTTAATCTTTAAGATCATGTAGTATTGTGAAAAAACTTGTAAATTCAGTCATAATTTGGATACTGGTCTAAAGCAGCTCTTAAAGAGAACCAGATTCCAAATTTAGAATGATATAAAGATTTTTTTCACAATTCTGCACAATCTTAAATTTTAAAGCAAAATGATATTTCAGGCAGACTAGGTCTATATAATTTAACAGGTTAGAATTGGATCCTGTGTAATTGGCCCTTTGGGTCACCAATAACAAAGATGGTAAATGGCACAGTCACGTTTAACAATGCATTTTGCAATTATTTCCTTGGAAATCCATTTTGTGAATAAATACCTTGGAATACAAACATGACACTACCTCAAAGTCTTTGTTTGAATTCATCTGTTTCATCCTGATCAATTTAGAATGAAATGATCAGGATGACTGATCTATTCAGTGACAATTGGGATTAAAGTTATCTTGAATACTAAGCATTCAATACTTAGTTGCTTCTGATTTTGTTAAATTGACAAACGGCTTCTTGTCAAACGGTTTATGATGCTTGAAAGACTCTGTGCTTGGAGGTATAGTTACTGAAACAGGGCACACTTGTGGGAAATAAACTTGTGGGAAATAAACTGATAAGTTAAATATAAATTATAAAGATGGATTTTCATGAGCAGATTAATGATGATAAATCTCTTACCCTTCTGGTGATATGTGGATCATTGCACTTTGCAAGTTTTCCAGCAAAAAGCTGAACTCCAAAGCTTGCAAAAACAAGCATGAGTGTCAGCAAAAGGATTGAAACCTAAAGGGAAATAATATGATCTTTAGACTCTACAAAATGCATGATGCAGCTTGTATTGACACCTTTAAATATGCAGGAGAAGGAGTTAGAAAATATGTTCAAGAGAGTTGTTTAAAAATACATTTCAAAATAGACAATTTACTGAAAAGTAATGCTCTTGAAAATCCACACCATTTCAGATATTCCTATTTTAATATTTTAATGGAACTAGTTTTATATAAAAAAACACTTTTAACCATAAAATTATGCACAACCTTTACTTAATAAACATAACATAGAAGAGAGCAATCTTTGAACTTGTCAACTAGTATAATGCACATTAGAAAATGGCATTACAAAACTTTAAATACCAAACAGAATAACTGCATATATTGTGTCAAGACTATAGATTTTAGTAACTAGATTATGGAAACACAAATAAAACATGAAATAACTTTCCACAATTAAATCCTCTGGATCTATATTAATATATAGGGCACATAAATCTATAAATTAGATTAAAGGTGAGTTCTGTAGCTCAGTGGTTAGAGCACTCGCTTTGCAAGTGAGAGACCTGGGTTCTATTCCAGTTAGTATCAATAACATTTATCCAATATTAGGTTGCACCTTGAGAGCATTTGTCTGAAATAATTTTAACTTTTACAAAAGAGTGGTTATACCTGTTTTTAAGTACCTTGCTAGAATTATGGCTCACTTTTAACTTTGTGTCCTGTGGACCAGAGGTTATAATTCAGGCTTCAGGCATGTGCTGGGTGGCTTCCCACACTAAACGTGGCTGGCTTCCAGGTTATCAGGTCATTTTTACTGTAACTTGCTGCACATTTGCAGGAAATGTTATAAGTGGCACTTCCTGACCAAGGTGTGCAACAACAACAACTTGCATTTATATAGCGCTCTTCATGCGGGGTAACATCTTGGGAGTACTTGCGTAGGAAGTAACATGAATGGCACTTTTTGTCCATGCATGCAATGCATAGGACGTGACCTCAGTGGCAACTTGGAAACCTGGAATTCAGCCATTTTTTTACACTTCTTTTTAATATTGATATCTGAAATATTGGGCTCAGACCATGATTCTATAATGGGGTTGCTTTATATTGATAAAAACATATTAGGAATTTCGGGATCAAATTTCCTGTACTTTATAATATTTCTAAATAGCGCTTCTTAATTGGGCAATTCAAAAATAAATTAGATAGCTACTTTGTGTTAAAAGGGATTTCTTAATTAGGAAATGAAGATAATAATAAAATAATCCTTGCATTTGCTATTGCGCTTTTCACGTCTTCTAGACGTCTCAAAGCACTTCACAGAATAGACTGTAAAGTGAGTTGACTGTATATTTGTGGGCAAGACATGGCAGTCAATTGCGCACAGCAGTGTCCCACAAACAGTTGTGGTTTGAAGTGACCAATTTATTATTGTTTTATTTTCTTGAGGGATTATTATCAGGCATGTGGAGTAAGGAAACTTGCCCAAGGTTTCACCCTGCTGGGAATCGAACCCAGGTCTCTTGCTTGGAAAGCGCGTGCTCTAACCACTGAGCTGCAGGACTCTCCAAGATCTTTATGATGGAACTTTTAAGAACACTGCAACTCAAACTATTTTGAGATTGGGCTTCCATTGTGCTCTGTGACACACTTCTGGTTAGTGCTAGCAGACTCCTCTTTGCTTTTAACGTACTTAAAATATCCCACAGGAAAATTGACTTTTGGTCATCCATTTTTCAAATGGATTTTGGTGCATTGGAGAGGAGAATAAGAACACATAGGGGAGAGCAACAAGATTGATTCCAAAATCTGGAGCTAAAGCTCCAAGATATCAATAAAAGTTTGCACTCTTGAATTTATTTTCATTAAGTAAAGAAGATCGAAGGACTTCATATAATTTACAGGAATTAAGAGTACCTGGGGAATCTTAATTCATTTCTCCATAGTTGACAATTTGCTGATCATCAAAGTTTGATGAACAGCAAGTACATACTGATCTGTATTGGCATACTTCCAAATTAAAATTCAAACTAGTTTAGAACAGTTTGACTCTCAGGTGACAGTTTTGTGAACAATATGTTATGTTATGTAACTGGATTTACAGAAAAAGTAATTTCTACAGACTAGCAAAGGTTTTGTGTAGATAGCCATTGCCTTTCAAAGGCTTCATATCACAAATGCAAAAATAATCAACACATATAGTTGTCAGAACTAATTACGTACTAGAAATATTTCTTTGAAACCACTAAATAGTTCCCGTACAACTTTTCTCATCTGGGGAACCAGTTTGAATATGCGGAGTGGTCGGAGACTCCGAAGCATCATCAGAAGTTGAGCCCCAGATTTCGCAGGAACATTGTGTGGCATCCAGCACAGAAAGATCAAACTTACCTAAACACAGGGAGTACAAGGAATGAAGAGAATTAGGACAAGGATGCTCCTCGAGATACAACCAATGAACAAGTAAAAAAAAACTGTCCAGTAGTTATGGGCTTTAACTCTATGAGTGAAGCTTGGAAGCAACAACTCTTTCAAGGATCTTGGAAAGGAAAGGGAGGTTGGAGATGGGCGGTAGTTAGTGAGCAGGGATAGGTCCAGGGAAGGTTTTAGGATATGGGTGATGACAGCTGTTTTTTAGGGGGGTGGAAATGATACTAGGTGACAGTGAGAGGTTGACAAGGTCCGAAATTAAACAGGCGAAGAGGTGGAACTGGGAGGTAAGGAGGGGGGTAGGGATGGGGTGAGGGAGGAGGTGGTGGGCTTCATGCGGGTTATAGTGGTGGTGGTGAGAGAGAAGGAAGTGACGGGTTCAAAGGTATGAAGGGAGGGATGGGTAGGGGCTGGAGTGTGAGAGCGAGATGGTGAGGGGGTGGCGGTTGGGAGGGTGGTGGCGGCTGATCGGATCCCCTCGATTTTGGTCTCGAGGAGATCCAGCATCTCCTTGTAGGTGTAGTTGGAGGAGAGGATGGGTGAGGCGTGAGAGAGTGGAGGGAGGAGCCAGTTGTGGAGGAGAGTGACCAAGGAGGATAAGTCAGTGCAGGAGGTAGTTCAGAGGGGGAGGAATTCAAACAACTTCAGGGCAGCAGAGAGGGAGTGCGGGAGATTCTTTTCCAGGAATGGTAGGAGATGGAGGTGGGTTGCATGGCAGTAGGGAGAGGGATTGAGGAGTTAAGGGAGATGAAATGGAGATCTGAGATGGATTTATTGGTGATTGTGAGGTCTGAGCCACTTAGGCCACGAGTAATCATCAGGTCGAGTGGGTGGCCATGAATCTGGGTGGCATAGTGGATGAGGTTGTGAGAGGAGAGGCGAGAGGAGACGTCGGTGGAAATAAGAGCAAGAGGGTGTGAAGTGCAGGTTGAAGTCGTCTAGGATGAGAAGGCATTCAGAACAGAGGCAGAGGGAAGCTAGGAGGGCGGAGATGTCTAGATGAAGGTGGGGGAGGGTTTGAGGGAGACGATAAATCAGGAGAATTTAGAGGGAACAACTGGAGGGATGGTAGAAGGTAAAGTGCTCGAAGGAGAGGTATGAGCCAGAGGAGTAGGGGGATAGAGCAAGTGAGTACTTAGAGATGAGGGCCACACCATTGCCATGGTTAGGATATGGGGTATGGTGGAAGGTGCTGATATGACCTCAGTCAGAGGAAAGTTGTCACCTGGAGTGATCCAGGTTTCAGTGAGGGCTAGGATATCGATGTTTTCATCAATGATGATGTTGAATATTCTCATTTACTTGGTGATTGGCTTGATGGACTACAATATTCAATACTATTACCCAGTAGAATATTTGGACAATTGTGTGAATATCTGTAGGAATTACACTAGGTATATTAATTTTTTAAAAAGTAGTTCTCCACTTTACAATTCTCATTAGCTGATCCTGAAACCTTCTAATGCTTAGGGTAAACAGTAAGCAAACTGAAGACTTACAAGGTAAATGAATATATCCATCACTCCTCCAAAATCCCTGATGACAGCTGTAGGTGTGAAGAATAGTCCATCTGCTAAAATTTTTAGATTAAGCTCAAAGCTCATAAAAATCACAAATACGTACTCGGCAATCTGAAACAAACACAAAAATTACAAAAAAAATCACCAATCATAATAGATCACTAGAGACTGTTAGTTTAAAGCCACACTAAGCCATTATTTGGTTTAGAATTCAAAGCAATTTTGACTTTAATTAAACGTGAAATCAAATAGGTTTTAAAATGCATAGTAGCTACTAGAGATAAGGATTATATATGAATTTATTGTAAACTAGCTGTACCCATTGCAGCTACGCCTGCAACAAGTTTCATTTAATCATCCTTCTCTCTTTTGTCTGTCATTTTTATTTGTCCTTGAAAAGCTTGATCTTCGCTTCTTAGGCATCGTTATCCCTTAAGATTAAGAAAATGTGCTATTGAACTCATTAGCATCCATTGTTCACATATTTGCACACATATTCTTTTGGAAGGACTCCTGTGGGAGGACTCCTTGTTGAAGTCCATATATGTGTGATGAGCCTGTTTGGGTCACAATAGGAGATCCCTGAAAAAAATATGCCCATGACACTCCCCAATGCAAGACCTTTTCGATGAGGTATAAATCATGTTTCTACGTCGATCAGTTAGACAGGCACACAGACAGACATTTTGTCTTTATTAGTATAGATGTATCTCTCCAGAAGAGTGTGTGACCTCTGTCGCTACTTTGTTACAGAGTACCATGCATACTTAATAATTAATTAAAACATTTTTAAAATCAACAATAGGAGATCTCTGAAAAAAAATACGCCCATGATGCTCCTCCATGCAAAACCTTTCTGATGAGGTATAAATCATGTCTCTACATCAATCGGTTATTGTATTCTTGGTGGACACACACACAGACATACCGACTTTATTAGTATAGAAGATAGAAGAAGATGAGTATAGTATTGAGTCAAGGTTAATGAACTCAAGGTCTCCTTTCTTGTTCCTAGCTGTAAGATTCCCAAGTATGCTTTACCAGCTGTCATCTAATTGCTAGTGGGTACGAGTCCACAGCACCAACTCTGTGTAATTTAGCACAAACCAGGAATCTCACTCCGAAAACATCTGTAATGATTGGTGCCAAAATAGAATGTTTGCAAAGGTATAGCTAGATTTTTTGAAATATAACTGGGGACATTGCTGGAGTAATATGGAAGGAACTTTACTCCATGGGGTGGAAATTGTGATGGTCCTTAACAGCTTTGATGTATTAACAATCAATTCCTAATTTCAAGTCAATAAAGACTGTCTATGAGAGTGAATCCTGTCCTGCAAACACTGACTTTGAAACAATAGTTAGGCTGGAAGCTAGTCTAAAGATTTCAGCGCTGCCAATCTTGTTGCTAATCATCCAGCTGGTCCAGATGGATTGCATCTGCGTATATTAAAAGAATCGAGGGAAGAGGTAGCAGAAGCAGTATTACCCATATATAATAGCTCATTAGAAAAGGGAGTAGTGCCAGAGGACTGGAGGATAGCTAATGATCAACCTATATTTAAAAAGGGAACTATAGACCTGTCAGCTTAACATCGGTGGTAGGAAAGATAATGGAATCCTTATTGAAGGAGGTAATAGAAAAACTGAAAACATAATAAAGGATAGTCAGCACGGATTTCAAAAAGGAAGGTCATGCTTGATCAGCCTCACTGAACTCTTTGAAGGGGTAACAGAAAGAGTAGACAAGGGTATTGCGGTAGATGTAATATATTTAGATTTCCAAAAGGCGTTCGATAAGGTACCACATAACAGAATTATGAATAAGATCAGAGCATCTGGAGTCAGGGGGAAAATAGCAGAATGGATAGCAAGCTGGCTGCAAAACAGAAAACAGAGAGTAGGGGTAAAGGGTAGCTACTCAGACTGGCAGAGGGTGGGCAGTAGTGTTCCACAAGGATTGGTATTGGGACCACTGTTGTTCACAATATACATTAATGATTTGGATTTAGGAATCAGCAGTACAATTTCAAAATTTGCGGACGACACCAAATTGGGGGAGCAGTTAATACAGAAGAGGACTGCAATAAATTACAGCAAGATATTAATAAATTTGCTGAGTGGGCATTTAAATGGCATATGCACTTCAATGCAGAAAAGTGTGAGGTGGTTCATTTCGGTAGAAGGAATAAGGAAGTCACATACATCCTAGAAAATAAAAAACTAAGTGGGGTAGAGGAGCTAGGGGTATACACATACACAATTCACTAAAAGTAGCAACCCAGGTTAACAAGGCCATNAAAAAAGCAAAACAGGCACTGGGGTTCATTTCTAGAGGGATAGAAATGAAAAGCAGGGAAGTTATGGCAAACCTCTATAGAACCTTGGTTAGACCATACTTAGAATACTGTGTGCAGTTCTGGTCCCCACATTATAGAAGTGATGTAGAGGCACTGGAGAGGGTGCAAAGGAGATTTCACAAGGATGATCCCAGAACTGAGAGGTTATACCTATCAGGAAACGCTGAATATACTTGGACTCTTTTCTCTTGAAAAGAGGAGAGTAAGGGGTGACTGATAGAGTTCTTTAAAATTATGAAAGGTTTTGATAGGGTAGACATAGGGAAGATGTTTCCACTTGTGGGAGAGACCAAAACCCGGGGTCACAAATAGATCAAATAGGGAAGTTAGAAGAAATTTCTTCACACAAGAGTAGTGGGAATGTGGAACATGCTACCACAAGGAGGTAAATAGCATAGATGTATTTAAGGGGAAGCTAGACAGGTACATGAGGGAAAAAGGAATAGAAGGTTATGCTTGAAGGCTTAGTTGAGGAAGGGCAGGAGGAGGCTCATGGGGAGCATAAACACCGGCATAGACCAGTTGGGCCAAATGGCCTGTTTCTGTGCTTATATTCTAATGTATTCTAATGTATCAATTTCCACTGCAGTAGTACAAGATATGACCTTAATCAGATTGGATGGGAATTGGCAAGAATTGAATTTGGATATTTGATGGCCCATTATTAAACAACTTATTCGGTCACAACCATGGTAATATTAATTTTAATTAATTCTCTGATATAGTCCTATGGAGTCCTGTGACTTAGTGGTTAGAGCACTCGCCTCACAAGAGAGAGGACCTAGGTTTGATTCCTGGCAGGGCGAAAGGTGGGGCAAGTTTCCTTACTTCACATGCCTCTGTTTACCTTGCAGTAAGTAGGAACCCGGTTGTTAGTCGATTGTCAGATCGTTTTTTCAGGGGCAATAATCGAACAAATATAATCAAATATATGCGCAGCAGTGTCCTACAACCAGCCAAATTTTATTTGGGGGATTGTTGGCTGGGACACGGGGAGAAACTCCCTTCTCTTTTTCAATACTGCCACGGGATTTTTAAAATCCACCTGAACAGGGAGACAGGACCTTGGTTTAACGTTTCATCCGAAGGACACCACCTCCTACAATGCAGCACTGTATTGGAGTGTGAACTTAGACAATGTGACATGGGGCTTGAACCCACAACCTTCTGACTCAGAGCCAAGAGTGCCAGTACTAGGCTGACACACAGTTCATTTTATATCTTAACCTGACATGGTAATAATCAGTAGATGGGGAACTTCACCTCTCAGAAAAACAGAAAAATCTCTGATGGCCTAGTGGTTAAAGACACTGACTGGCACAGGTCGAGGCCATACAGATGTAGAGGTTGCAGCTTGTGACCTTAGATTCAGCCAGAGTCAGACACCTTCAGGAGTGAATGCGTGAACATTGAAGGAGAGGAATATATTGGAAGAGAAAAGAAAGCAGATATTCCTCTCCTTCAATCATGTAAGCAAATTCACTAATCTAATTTTAGACCAAAATATGACTTTACCTGCAAAGTAGGTGTGTGCATAACCGTTGTGAAAGGGGTCTCAAACATCATTGAAATACATGTGCAAATGGTAACTACAATCATCACCCAGTCCAGGTAGGTGACCATTCCAAGTAAGTCACTAAAGGATGGTAGAAAAACGAGTTACATGGTGAAGAATATAATAACAACCATCACGATCATTTCCATTTTGTAATTCCAATGGCTATCAAAATAAAATAATATCTGCATTTTACATTTACATTTTAAACTTGAACACAATTGCTAATGCTGCAGACAGTAACATTATTTTATATAATAATTTGATACAGTGCCGTATCACACCAAGAAAATCACGCATTTACTTCCTTGGAAAGCTGTTGTAATGTAAGCAAAACCAGCAGCTAAAATATATATCAGCAAAAACAGCAATAAGATGAATGAACAAATGTAATCTATTTTTTGTGACTTTTAATGAAGGAGGAATATTAACCAGGACATGAACAAAGACACATTTTATTCACAGATGTTGCTCTGCACTAGAGTTTCAGAGCATTTAAATGTGCAATGCACGCATAAATCACAGATTTTACACTTTCTTTCGCTTAATAAATACATAAACATGTAATAAAACATTTGACCCCCAGAATAAAACAGTGCAAGAGTGAACTTACTAAAGTTGATGGTACTTGATATTCTTAACTGCTCCTGTGATTGGATCAGTCTTTGAGCTGTGTGAAAAAAAACACATTATCAAGAATGGGGTCCATAACTTAACTATAAGTATTAATAGCTGTAGTTGCAGTTATGCTTGCAACCAAAGGATCCAATATGGAATATAATAATAATAATCCTTTGATTATTAATTTGATATAGCGCTTTTCATGTCTTCTAGACGTCTCAAACTGCTTCACAGAATATACTGTAAAGTGAATTGACTGTATATTTTGTGGACGAAACGCGCAGCTAATTGCGCACAGCAGTGTCCCACAAACAGTCATGGATTGAAGTGAAAAATTATTATTTATTTATTTATTTATTTATTTTTGTTGAGGGATTATTGTCAGGCATGTGGAGTAAGGAAACTTGCCCAAGGTTTTGCTCTGCCCGGAATTGAACCCAGGTCTCTCACTTGCCAGGCCATTGCTCTAACTACTGAGCTACAGGACTCCACCTTAACCTGTGTCCTCTTGTCTCGGTGCATGCAAAATTTTATTTTGATTTTATTTTATGTAAATTTATTTTATGTAGATTTTAGTGATACCACTCACAAACCATTTAACATGCCATAAGCACTGCGTGTACACCTTCAGCAAAACTGCCATACATCTGTGATGAGCTTGTTTAGGTCATAGCTCATCAACGATAGAATATAACCCCCAAAAATATGCCCATGAACTCCCCCATGCAAGACCTTTCTGACGTATAAATCATGTAATCTGAGTCAATTATTTATTGTGTTCGTGGCAGAGACAGACATTTTGTCTTTATTAGTATAGATTATTATAAGATGTTTAACTTTTCTTTGTGAATGAATACTTCACTGTTGGATTTGTTTTGTAATTCATTTTCATAAAAGTATTTTATCCATAACAATGAAACTTATAAAATGGAAAACAAGATTAAATGTTAAGTACATAAGAAAACATTTATTTTGTAAAAGGATACTCACGCATTAAACCGGGCTCTTACTATCACACGGCAGAAGGTTCTAAATCTGTGCTCCCGACCAACTATAAAGAGAGGTTTGTCAAAGTAAGGATGATTTTCACGTAATTCTTCTTCTTGAACTTTCCTGAGGAGAAAAGCAAATTATACATTTTAATATTCAACGTTCAGAAAAATTTCAAAAGAGAGCACAGAAAGGTTTCACAAGAACAGAAACTCGCCGTTTCATTTCAGCTTGTTCCTTCTTTTCCTGGATCATCTTGATTTCACTGTCCTCCCTCTGTGCATTTCTGTATCGTACCGTGCTGGAGTGCTTAAAGTGGAAAAACAAAATACTTTCAAGGGTTCACATAAATGTGAGCATTCAATTATAAAAGGCCTGACAAATTACGTGCTACTGTTTCAATTGTACCCAACAGTGAACAGTCACCATAGAAGTTATGGATCCAATTTTATTTTAGTGCCACGGATATGAGTGTAAGCTACTGAAGACATTTAACATTTTTTTTCACAAAACTCCACTACAGTATATATATCACTGCTCAGTTGAACAACAGAGGGAAAAAAATAGATTTTCTGCCTGACTCCCATCGTAGTGCTTGCTTCTGGTTAGTTTTCTTAATCTTTCTTAACTAAAATCAACCTTTTCTTTTAGTTATTTTAAAGTGGGGGAACTATAATAATAATAATAATAATCCTTGCATTTGATATAGCGCTTTTCACGTTGGGAGGACGTCCCAAAGCGCTTCACAGAACACATTGTAAAGTGAATTGACTGTATATTTGTGGGCGAACGCTGCAGCCAATTGTGCACAGCAATGTCCCACAAACAGTCGTAGATTGAAAATGAACAATTTATTATTGTTTTTGGTTTTTGGAGGGATGATTATTAGGCGTGTGGAGTAAGGAAACTTGCCTAAGGAAACTTGTGGAGTAAGGAAACTTGCCCACTTGCCCATTGAAACTTGTTCAATTCCCTGGAATTGAACTCAGGTCTCTCGCTTGCAAAGCAAGTGCTCTAACCACTGAGCTACAGGACTCCACCTGTTGAAGTCTAACTTACATTCACAGATACATCTGACACCATTGACAGTGGAGTGTTGTGGTACAGAACGTACAGTGATAAAATGTGTTGGGAGACAGACTGATGTCTCCTTTCTCAAGTGTTATTGTTGTGGGAAGGTGTTGAGCTGAGGTGAGTCACTTCCCCACAGCGACGAGGCAAACATTTGATTGGTTTCTGGATTCTTCTTAGGCATCTTCTGCAAAGTTTATCAGAGTCAAATTGTTGGAGGAATAAGAGCAGGCATGCTTCATTAAAGTTGGGAGAATCCACTTTCTGGTTGGTGCTTTGACACTAAACATTTAGCTTTTCCCACTAAACATCATAACATCATGGTGTGTCAGTCTGGCTCAGTTGATAGCACTTCTGCCTCCGAGTCAGAAGGTTGTGGGTTCAGGCCCCACAGCAGGACTTGGACCTTATTTAGTCTAGGTTGACAGTCCAATGCAGTGCTGGGGGTTGCTGCATTGTTGGAGGTGTCATCTTTTGGATGAAACATTAAATTGAGACCCAATCTGCCTGTGCAGGTGGATGTTAAAGATCCCATGACACTATTCAAAAAGAAAAAGGAGTTTCTTCCAATGTCCTGGCTCCCAATCACAATCATAAAACTGGTCATTCACTTCATGACTGTTTGTACGAAATTGCTGTGTGCAAAACCGGCTGATCAAAACACACAGTCACTCCACTTTACAGTATATGCTGTTAAACCTTTTGAGACGTCCTCCTGACTTGAAAAGTGGTTATACCAAATGTACGGATTGTTATTATTACAGAAAAAAATCACATAGGTCATATCAGTTGGGACCATAACATTTAATATGATTTGATGTCCAAGTTGCAGGCAAACTGTACAAGTCGTATGAAATCAAATTTAATCAATAATCTTCGGTAAATGCGGGAGTAATAGGGCATAGGTGTTATGAATTAGGAGGTGATTAATATGAGTAGTGCAAAGAAATCCAAGTGGTTTTGATAGGAAATTGAATGGGCCTCGACTGAATGTACGACTTGGGCGATTATACGACTTAGGTGATTATATAATTTATAAAGATAAGATTTATGAAAGTTTTACAGTATACCCTAAAAGTTTTGATAATTTGTGATAGTTTTGAAATGATTTTGGATCTGAGTATTTAATACTTAAAATCTTCCTTGATCCTCTTGTTAGTGTGAACATTCACAAACTCTATAGTTTTAGGACCTGAGGTTCCATCATGTTTTAGCCACTAATACTCTTTTGTCTTAAAATTTAAGGTTGCACTGAATTATCAAAAAAATCTTGAATTCAGTCAATTTTGTGCATTTTTTTAATCAAAGAAATGGCTTCCAAAATAATATTGAAATTAAGAACTTTCCAAAATTCTGTGCAATCTTACATTTAATAAAAACGGTCTCAAAGGCCAGGAGGTGTTGACACTTGTATCATTACTCATCTATTGCCACAGATTGCAGAAAGAACACAAGGGTCCTTTAAAAAATAAATGTGGGCAACTCCACAATCCAGAAGAAACTTACAAAGAAAGGAACAAAGGTTATAAAAAAAACTTCAGAACATTAGCTTTAAACTTCAAAGAATTTGAATTAGTATAGAAATCAATGCTTCAATGGTTATACCATAGAGTACATAAACAAAACATTTCAATAACTCAAATTCATGAAACCAGACAAGCATTAGCACAGTGAATACACCTTCTACGTGGTTGTTTAGTGATTTCACTTACATCTTGTGTCAATGTTTCCAATGATTTTCCTCTGCTGATTCTCTGGCTACTTGAACCATGCCGGAGGGACCTGGAACAAAGGCAACAGCACACAAAGTAATATATTCAAATGAGGACTTTAATGTTGAACAATAAAAATATAGAAATGGAAAAGTACTACGACAATTGGATTTATATTTAATGCAAGGATTTTGAGGTTATATAGAAATGTGCTACATGGCAGTGTTGCATTTTAAAGTGGGCATGTTTCCCTGAAAATCAAACATTATTCAACCACAAATGATCATCCTCAAAATGATTATTATGCATGAAGCACTACATTAAGGATATGTTCTGAAAGAATGTCACCAGTAGTATTTTCTATTTATTATTTCTAGCTTTTAGTTCTGTTCTTTTCATTTCTTTTGACTCTTAAAGATAAAGCAGGGCTTCTGGAACTATTCTCTTATGACTTCATCAAAGGTTTTCTACAGCTGTTAATCCCTCAGATATTCCCTTGCCTCCTCTGGGTATTTCTCCAACTTGATGTTGCAGTTTGGTATGAGAGCTTGGTGTTCGAGTGGGTACAAACGTGCTCTGTTTGTGGTGCAGTGCAGTGGTGCTTTGTGACATCCACATTTTCATTGGATTTGCGTGCCCCTCTTTAAAAACTATCAACAAAAACATCTTTGAATATCTTTCTTTTTTCCTCTGTTCGTAACTGTAGAAACTAGATGATATATAATAAAATACCACATTGGAGAAATATAACATGGAAGTCATAGTATCAATCTTGCTTTAAAATTCAGGCACCTTGTTCTCAATATCTATCATGCAAACATAAAGTCGATACAAAAGGAGAATTCTGGCATCCTCTACATTACCAATTGTCACATAAACTGACTGTTCTCCATGCAGATTAGTTCAGTGATGGCCAACCCTTGCCCCATGGGTCTGAAATGGCCCCCTGAACACTTGCATTTGTCTAGATAAGCCCATGTTCAATCAATAGTGTGTTTCCAGTTTTTTTCTTGATTGAATATTTCTTGATTTATGGCATAAAATAAGTCAAGAAATATTCAATCACAAAAACGCATTTTGTTGGCCGATCAAAAAAGGTTGGTCACCACTTCTCTAGTCTATTACAAAGATAAATTGTGCTACTTAGTGTCTTTTCATCCTATCCAAGGAGGGTCTCCTAGGAGCTGAATTGGCTCCAAGGTGACTTGCATGGCAATGGAATGTCGGAATCGAGCCAGTCCTCTCTGGCAGTCTCGGTGGTTTGGTTCCTGAGCCAGGTGGGTCCATAGTATTCCAGGGCACAGCCAGCCTGGCTCATTGGCAGGTCCTAGAAGGGCAGAACAATCACTAGGGGCAGGGAGTCATCCCACCGAGCTCCTGTTAACCTTGCAAGCCAAAGGGCCTAACCAGTAGGGTGATCTTGCTGGACACCCAATGGGAAAGCTTGCCGTGAAGTGATATCAGTGGCAAGCGGTGCCGTTTTAGCTGGTCAGTAGTACCTCAACGCACAGTCTGGGGCCCCCAAGCCTTGGCTCTTGCCAACCTAAACCTAAAACTTTCTGGAATGAGTTAAGCAGGATGTGTCCCTCCAGGGAGAGTGTATATTCCATTCCAACAATCTATTTCTGCAGTTTCCATGTGTAGATGAACTTTACAATGGAAGTCTCAGTTTGTTTGGATACTCTTGAGCATGGAGATGATTTTCTGGATGTGCCTGACACCCAGCTGACCCCCAAAAAATCCTATTTAAGGTTACAAAGCACAAGGAAAGTCCTTTCTATTAAAATACTCCCTCGACCAACAGTAACAAACAATGTCTGTATAAAATTGCATTATATTTGCAGTTGTGGCACACCATGGAGCTGTCTCCTAGGCTGCCAGGCCACTCTTCTGATGCACATATCTCCTTTATGAACCTGGATTATTTCTTTTGATGTAATAGAAGTAGTTGCTTTGGAATGTACTGGAAGCCAATCCAGGACCAATAAAAATCCTCGGTGCCCTTTTCTGGCATAAATGCTGCTGTGCTTTCTTACAATAACAGTCACTACACTTGACAACAATTACATGTGAAATAATTTGAAATGTTTCAACGTGATAAGCCTTTATAAAATGCAAAATCATTTTCTTTTTCTTTGGTTACAGAAATTCTGGATCAACTGTCTGACCAATCTAAATCATGCATCCTCACAAATACAAACAGAACAATTCCAGGGACATATAGGTCTCCTCCTCATCATATGTCTTTGGGGTGGCCTGACAACTTTCGCCCACAAATATACGGTCAATTCACTTTACAGCATATTCTGTGAAGCGCTTTGAGACGTCTAGAAGACGTGAAAAGTGCTATATCAAATGCAAAGATTATCTGTACAAAATACTACAACACAGTCCCTATTGTTATTCAATGGAGATAGAATATTAGCCAGAATATACTAGCTCCTGTTTATCTTTCCCTTGACATCAAACACCTTTGTCTGATCTGGTAATAATGTCCATTAGTTAACAAAATAACATAAAACAAAAATGTACAATTAGTTAGGAAAGGAACTGTCTTTCTGACGTGAAGGTCACTGTACAAGTGTAATTTTTTGTTGTTGTTGTTTGCCATTATTCTTTGATCTATTTACAAGTATACAAGTCAAAAAGAAATCATGGCTTTCATATTTTTTCTGTCGTGAAATTGCTTTTCTGAGAATCTCTGTGCTTTTTGAGATGAGATGTCAATGTTGACGAATGGGAGTTTTTGTTTTACAATTTCTGGCACGCAGTGCCATGTAAAGTTCTTCCAAGTAAAGCCCCTTCAACTCTTTACAGTGATGTATCTGAACCCTAACTTTTGAAGAAATTTAGAACCCTAACTTTAGCTCATAATTGCAGAACATTTCTGTGTGCAGATTGACCTCCGTGTTCGCCTACAAGGTCACTATGCTTTACAGAAAAATCAGTGCAGCATTTTGTGATATTGATGTGATAAGGTACTACATCAAATGCAATGATTATTATTTTATTATTATTAAGCACATCCTCCATTACAATTATGTGAAATTTTCACTTTCCACAACTATTCTATGTGGCTTGACTGAGGGAAACTTGCAATAAATTCTGCAAGTTTAACCTCAATCAAATCACCGCTTGGTCTAGACCAAGTTTAGAGACCAAGTTTATGTCCTTCTAGTTTAACCCTTTGAGCACTGGTATCATTCTGGTGAATCTGTGCTGCAGCCCCTCCAGGGCAAGTATATCCTTCCTGAGGTGCAGTGCTATACATAACCTTGATAATAGCCCTTAAAGTATCGGTGCTATTACCTGCGCTCTTGACGGATGTGGTGCTGTACACTTAAAATGGAGCGTTCTTTTGCAGGTTGTCCCTCAAAGGATCCACTCAGCATGCGCTGGCGAGTGCAAGCCCTGCAGAAAAACAACGTAATTTATGCAAATAAATTTTATATTTCATCATACATTAAACATTTTTTTTCTTTTATGGCACTCAAACCAGCAGACAGCTTTGTATTTCCCATCCTGGGAAGAGAAATACTAATTTGTTGTGTGTGCTTTTTATAAATGTATTGGTATCAGAAAGAATTCTGAATAGACGAAGAGTGTTCCTGACATTATTTCCCTTGCATGTTGATTGTGCTATACTTTCATGATTTCATTAAATATTTATTGATTACCAACAGTACTTCTAGATTTTATGCTTCAACTTTATCTGCAACAAAGAGAGGAAACAAAATGTTTTGGCAAACATTTCCAGACCGGCTGCTCACAGATGAGTGACTGAATGGTTCATCTGTGAGCTGCCAAAACCACAGACTTTGTCTCTGAGAATAAATAAAATTATGGAAATTTTCTGAAAACTTTGTCTACTCCCATGGTTGCTTCAGTGAAAAGTGGAGATCAAGTAATATGAGACCTGAAATCCCACGTTGTCTTAGCCTGTAAGATCACTGTGCTTAAAGTTTGAAGATAGTATTGAATTGTAGAAAGTTCTTCAAATCAGTCATTATTCTGAAATAAAAACAGAAGTCGCTGGGAACATGCAGCATCTATGGAGAGAGGAAAATGAGTTAACGTTTCGGTTCTGACAAAAGGTTATTGACCTGAAATGTTAACTCATTTTCCTCTCTTAATAGATGCTGCCTGACTTGCTGCGTGTTCTCAATGATTTCTGTTTTTAGTTCAGATTTCCAGCAGTATTTTGCCTTTTCTTTATTTTGAAGCCTTTTGGGAATTTTACAAACTACGGAAAACTGGTTGCTAAAGCCTGGCTTTATAATCTTACTCTCTGCCAGGCTGCTTATCCTATTCTCTTTGGGCCTCTTTCCCAGATTCCTGGTCCGTCCCTGAAACTTAACAAGGAGTACACTCAAAGCAACTTACATTATTGTCGATAGCATTTATCCGTATAAAACAGATGGGCTCTGAAATCCTTTTTCGTCTTTAATTTGTGTTCTTTCTTTAATCTCTTGTTGCTTTTGCTGTGGTGCACATCTTATTAGAAGCTGTGAAACACTTTCTACACCTTTTAAGTGCTATCACTGCAAATCTTTAGATACCCTTACATTCTCAAACTTCATCCAACTAAGTACCATTATCCTGTCATTAAAATTGATGGTGTAAATTGTGTATGCTTGCCACTTCTTTCATTGCACACATTGGAGAAATTTCCCAGGTTGGTCTGAAACATTCTACACACGGGCCTTGGAGAACCCTTCTTTGCTAAATATTGCCTAAAAATAATAATAAAAGTAAAACATTTCAAAGTTGCACTATACATCTTGAGCATGATTTCTGCGGGAAGTGAACTCAACTGATTTGGCAACAGAGCCCAGCATTGTTTGCCTTGTTTATTGTTTTGACATTGTGATCAAGGAGGAAATTAACACCTCTAGATCTCTTTCAGTTTTCCTCTCGACAAGATCCATCCCATCTGTGGAGTACATGTACCTCCTATTTTCATTTTATGTATGTAGTACCTTGCATTTTTCTCCAGTGACCTTTATCAGATGTGCAACCCTCTCAGTAAGGCTCTCAGTACAGATCTTGAAATGCCTAACTTAATATCTCTGCCATTGTGACCTCTCTCTCCTATTGCCTACGCTTTGCTTCCTTCCCTTCAGCCAATGTTGTCCATGTCCATGTCTTACATAAATGATTGCACTCACAGCCCTGACGGCTCAATTTTCCTAATTATCTTAGTGCTTTTTTTAATTGTATTGAAATGAGTGGTGACTCACAACTGGAAAGAAAATGGCATCATTAATCTCAGTTTTGGAGCATGGACTCTACTTTTCTCCCTTTTTGTCCTAATTTTCAATGCCTCCCAAGTGGTTGCTGTTTATGCAGTATTCAAGGTGTGTACACTGAACACAAGAAACACACATCATGTGATCAATAGCACCCCTGAAATGTATGTACAGCTGTTGTACCCATTCAAGATAATATATCACTCATACAACCTTCCTGTGCTGCGATAAGTATACAGTTTATCCAGTAGATGATATATACTTATTAGGTATACAAACCAAAGTGTATCAGATATGAGTGTCTGCTTAACTTTTACCAATTGCACAAAACACCTTATGTAAAGAGACTGCTTTAGAATGATTGATTCACTTAAAAAGTCAATAAAACATCAATTAAAAAACGAATAGCCAACCAAAAAGCCAAACGTGTTCCAGCAAACTGTTGGCAATCACAGAAGGCTGGTGTTCCAATACAGCTTAAAAAGTGATAGCACTGTAATTGTTTGTGTAAAAAAACACTTAATTTGTTGATTTTCACTGAACTTTGATAGCTGAGCTCATTCAAAAGTTAAAATGCTTTAAAAAGTATTACTTTAGAATGATAATTTTAAAATGTAGACCAAACTATTCACCAAATGAAACTAAAAAGCTCTTCTTTTGACAGTTCTGAAGTCTTGCCCTAAAGACATTTTTCCCTTTTGACATTGTCTTCGATGTGTTGCACTCCAAATACTTTCTATACAATAATCTGACCATTATGAAGGATAATTGTTTAGATTTGTTATAATGTGAGTCTTTCAAACTTTTGAATAACCCAGAATTTGGATATTTTCCAATGGCTTTGATTTTAGAAAATGTCTAAAGACCATTTTACTAGATGTAGAGCCAGAGGGGCAGACCAGTAAGTATGGCAACCAACTACTTTGCTATTAGAAACTTCTGAGGCTCCAAAGTCTCAGTGTTGAGTCAGGTGCTCTATTTTTAAGTAGATTGAATTGTAGACGGAAACAAGCTCTCACTCATAAATCAATTTTTTTTCAATCCCAATTTGAAGAAATATAAAGTATAAACCACGCTTCTCTCTCCACATCTCTTTGCTCCCGTCAGTATAAACACAGCATTAGTTTTAAAGATTTCTGAAATAGCTAGGTAGGGTAAATTTGCTATGTATGTACACATGGCAAACCCATTAAAATAAATATTCCTTAGCATACTTAAGTCATACCTAAGAATTTTATTAAGAGCATTTTCCTTTTCAAGAAGATTTCGGGCACGAATGCTGGAAACTGATCTTCGCAACTGAAAATAACCAGAAGGATTAACGAGTCAGTAAAACATGGATGGTCAGCTACACGTTGCTCTGCCTTGCTGGTAGCAATGATATAGCAATTTCTAATGGAATTCCTTAATAAGGAATTTGAAAGAGGACCCCCTCTGGTAACTGGGACCTTGACCTATACTTCTTCACACTGAAGCTTGGCTCAATCTGCAGATATCACCAGAAGTGAAATAAAAAGTTCACAGTGGTTGTAACCCATAATATCACCGGAGGGCCAGCTGACAAAATTGCTTCCTTGCCAGACCTGGAGCAGTTAAATAATGTATTTCTGTTATTGCATTTGGAAGCTGTATAAATCAGTGCACACGCATACTGCTCCCACATCAAAGTAGCTTGATTTTACTGGGAATAATAATAATCCTTGCATTTGTTACTGCACCTCATCACATTGCCAAGAATGTCTTGAAGCACTTCACAGGATAACCTGTAAAGTGGATTGACTGTGCATTTTGTGGGTGAAATGCGGCAGCCAGTTTGCGCACAGCAGTGTCCCACAAACAGCCATGGAGTGAGTGACCAATTTTATTTAGAGGATTTGTTGGCCAGGACACTGAGAGAAACTCCCTTCTCTTTTTGAAGAGTGCCATTTATATACTGATAATATATAAACTATTAGTATTATGTCAAATAGTGCTATGGGATTTTTAATGTCCACATAAACAAGCAGATGGGACCTCAATTTAATGTCTAATCTGAAGGACGGCACCTCTAACAATGAAACACATCCCAAGCACTGCACTGGAGTTTCATCTTAGACTATGGGAGTCCAAGTCCCAATATGATGCTTGAACCTGCAATCTTCTGACTCAGAGGCAAGAGTGTTACCAACTGAGTCAGGCTGACACCATTAGAGCCGTATAATGTAATAATTTGTCTGATGTTAATCAAATTTGCAGCCCTGCTTAACAAAAGATTAAGCAGCGCTCCGGCACTTGAAATCTGGAATGAAGAGACAGGTGAATGCTCCACTGAGAAAGCAGGATGGGTTGATGGACAGCAGATGGCCCAATGGGAGCTCGGGGCACGTTGATGGACAGGCTACATTGTGCCCTGTTGACAGATGCCAAATAAGATCCCTCCTGCTTTGCTTATTGGCTGAATTACCACACATATCCCTTCAGTGCTACTGGCTCCGTTGCTCGTCTGCAGGCATTGAACACCAAAGGAACAAATTTTACCATACTGAAAACTTCAGGAGAGCACAAAATAAGAGAGCCATTATTACAAGGTATGAATACTAATAATCCTTGCATTTGTGCCTTATTAATCCGTGCCTTATCACGTCATTGAAATGTCTCAAAGTGCTTCACAGAATATACTGTAAAGTGAATTGACTGTATATTTTGTAGGTGCAACGCCAATTGCGCCCAGAAGTGTCCCACAAAGTCGTGGATTGAAGTGATCAATTCATAATTATTATTTTTTAAGGGATTATTACCCAGAAAAGCGATCCGCTAATCGACTTAACAACTGGATTCCTATTTACTGTTGGCCAACAGAGGTGTGTGGAGTAAGGAACTTGCCCAACTTTTTGCCCTGCCAGGAATCAAGTCCAGGTCTCTCGCTTGTGAGGCGAGTGCGCTAACCTGCGGAGTCCTGTAGCTCAGTGGTAAGAGCACTTGCTTTACAAGTGACAGACCTGAGTTCAATTCCAGGCAGGGCGAAACCTTGGGCAAGTTTCCTTACTCCACACGCCTAATAATAATCCCTCCAAAACCAAAAAACAACAATAATAAATTGGTCATTTTCAATCTACGACTGTTTGTGGGACTTTGCTGTGTGCAATTGGCTGCCACGTTCGCCCCCAAATATACAGTTAATTCACTTTACAGTGTGTTCTGTGAAGTGCTTTGGGACGTCCTCCCAACGTGAAAAGCGCTATATCAAATGCAAGGATTATTATTATTATTATAACCACTGAGCTTCAGAACTCCACCAATTCTTCTGTAAAATAACATTGAAATATCATCAAATAACTATGCTTTACAGGTCCTTCATCTCAGTTTTGTAAAGAACTTAGACTTTCTCCCAATGTGAAAGGTGCTCATTAAGTGTAAATTGTTGCAGTTGTTGAAAGCAACTGTGAAGAATCGGAAAACTATGACTCCAAATATTTCCAGTGCATGCACTGAATAGATTCCTAGAATAACCAACATTTTAATTGAGAAAGTTGGGAGTTCATCAATAGTGGTGATGAATACAAACAGCCAATTCTCCACAATTTTTAACATACTGCTATCTGGAAAATCACTCCTTTCTCTTAAAATACTGCTCCCACATCAAGGTAGCTTGATTTTATTGGGAATAATAATAATAATCCTTGCATTTGTTACTGCACCTTATTACATCATCAAGGTTCAGGGGGCGTTAGTGGCAATCAATAGGTCCAATTTGGGACTGTAGAATCCTTTTGTGTAAAGCATCTTGGGATACACAGCAGTTGAGTGAAAATATATGTTTTGTTCAGAACATCTCTACTGTACCAACACTTCTGTCATCTATGAACAAAAGTATACTGGGCTCATCCTAGTTTGATTCTTTGAAACATATCTTCAGTCACATTAGTATCTTTTTTATTGATGATTCCCTTTCTAATTCAATAAGGCACATGAAATATTCATCAATTTCAAATGTATGAAATGTTCAAAGGGATCAATCAAAGAATCAGTCCATTATTAATGGTTATAAATTAAGGATCAACTATTTTGCAATGACGTTGACTGCACTTTCTGACTGACGTATGTTGAAATCATTCACATCTCTCTAACAATGTTATTAATAATATTTGAATTAGTACCTTTTGATCAATATATTTATCTTCAATACAGGACCTTTTTGAATGGTCACATGACGAGGAGGAGGCTGATGGCAGTCTGCGGAGCAAACAACTTGTGTCCTGCTGCTGACGGTCAATAAACTGCTTCATAAAGCTTTCCCTTAAATAAAAAAAATCCAATTTAGTCAGACTGAAAGACATTGAGAAAGCTAAATTATGCGGAGTACTGAATTTAATTTAGGACAAGAAATTATATTTTATTAAGGCAATTTTCTCTTTGTATAGTATGCATTACAAGTGAAGGACTAATTCAAAATCCAAAATTGCATTTCAAATGCTAGTTTCAAACTTAATATAAAAATAAACTAATATTCAAATAAGTTTCAAATTGCATTAGGAGCACAGCATGAAATATGGAAATTTAGAGTTTCTTGCAAACTATGTTCTGCTAAACTAAACATGTTGGTGCCTGTATCTTTAATTGCAACCATCACAAGCACAGCTTACTTCTCACCTATTACCACACATAATTTCAGAAACTTTGTATTCTGATTGAAGCCACCTACCTTATTCTGGGAACTGAAAAATCTGATGGCAGTTTGGATATTTTCACCATTTGTGGTCTGTTTGGGAATTTTTCAAAGATGCGCAACCGAAGTGGAAGTTTTTCTTTGGTATCAGCATTTGCTTCGCTTTGCTTAAGCTTACGAAAATGAAATGAATACATTATAAATTACAGAATGTTTTTATTTCTTAAAATATTACAATAACATTTTTGTGCAGAGTTAACAAAAAATGTTTGTTTATCTGCATAATATATAAAAGGCAATATGAACCTAAAGGATTAAGATTACGCTGAATAGCCAGGCTGTAAATTGTGAAATATTCAGAAGATGGCAGCAGAGAATTACACATCACAGCAGATAACACCAAACAAAGTATGTTTGTAATAGTTATCAGAATCAGTAAGGATCCTGGTTATTTCCCAAACATGTAAAAGAAGTACTTAAAAATAAAATAAATATAAATAAATACTAACTGCAAAAACAGACATGCAAACTGAAGAATCAAAAGTTTACCCAAGAGCATACAACAAAACAACAAAATTACATTTGTAAAGCGCCTTTCACATTGGGAGCATGTCCCAAGGTGCTGCCAGTCGGGGATCAAAGCCCAAATGTGGTGGGGAATGGTTCGTTTGAGGTAAGGCAGAGAGATAGGCGGGTGGCTGAAGGCACGGTCGTAAAGGAGGGTCTTGAGTCGTGGCTTGAAGGAATCAAAGGAGGGAGCAAGGCGAAGGGATTGTGGGATGGAGTTCCAAAGAGTGAAGGCAGAGAGGCTAAAAGCCTGGCACCTGATGGTAGGGCGGGTCAGGCGGAAGACATGGAGCAAGCTGGAGCCTGCTGAATGGAGGGAGCGGACAGGTTGATAGTGGGTCAGCAGGTCAGAGATGTCGAAGGGGGCAAGGCCATGGAGGGCCTTGACAGTGAGGATGAGGATTTTGAATTCTATCTTCCGAGGGATGTGGAGCAGGAGATTTTCTTGGAGAAGGACGATTTAGCGGAGGCGAGGGCGGAGCGGTACTTTTTGATGTGGTCCAGCCAGATCTGCCGGTGGTCCTTTAAATCAGATTTGAGCCAGGTGTGTTTGGCGGCCCACACCTGACCCTTGAGGAAGTGGAGGTGACTGATGTACCAGCGTGAGGTTTGTGAGTACGAGGTGGTTCGGTAGGTGAGGGGAGCAAGGACATCAAGAGTGGTCGAGAGGGAGTGTGGAGTACAGTGAGTGAGGAGGATAAATCAGTGCGGGAGATCGGCCAGAGGGGGAGGATTTCAGATGACTCCAGGGTAGCGGAGAAGGATTGCGGGGAGATTTTTTTCCAGGGGCAGTAGGAGATGGGTGGCGGTGGGGAGAGGGATTGAAGAGTTAAAAGAGATGAAATGGTGATTGGAGATGGCTTTGTCGGTGATGTCCGAGACACAGAGGCCTCGGGTAATCACCAGGTCGAGTGGTTGGCCATGAATGTGGGTGCCAGAGTGGATGTGGAGGGAGAGGTTGTGAGAGGAGAGGAGAGAGGAAAAGTCCGAGGAGATAGAGCAGGAGAGGATGAAGTGAAGGTTGACAGCGCCGAGGTTGAGGAGGCGTTCAGAACAGAGGCACAGGGAAGCCAGGAGGGTGGAGATGTCAGAGATGAAGATGGGAGAGGGTTTGGGGGTGTGATAAATTAGGAGAATTTTTAGGAAAAAACAGGAGGGATGGATACAAGATAATATATTGGTGATGATTTGATGGGAAATCCCATTCCAATGACAATGACTTACATTTGATAAGATAGAGGCCTTTGAGAACAAAAACATTGATTATCATTTTTTATGACCAGTGTTTGGTAGAACACACACCATTTACATCCTCTTTTGTTACTTATCTGAATATATCAATAATCTAACTTAATGGTGAATAAATTTGAAGTTCCCTTGACCGCAAAGTTAATAACCTGTGAGAGATTTACCATCTTCAGTTGCTAATACTGATCTTGCCATGATTGTACAACTTCCAATCTCTGCTGGAAAAGTTGTAAAAATCATATTTTACCCTTACCCCCTGCCTCACATCAATTTACTCGAGGTTAAAAAGTGTTTGTGCCCTTGTAGTCAGGTGCATTGTCATTGATTTTATTGCAGTGGATCTGGGTGGATTGGGTACACAAGGCACAATAAAGATGTGCCCCCAAATCATCCAACCATTTATTTGTCAAAGGAAACTAATACATTATACAGTACTGCGTTTATACTGCTGGAAACAAAGCCATTTTACTTCCAACAATGTTAAACAGGAAGCCTGATTTATACTGTATGTAAAAAAATTGTATTCTCATAAAAATATGAGAAGCTAGTATCTAAAAAGACCAAAGGCTGGTTTAAAACTAACAAAGAATAAAAACACTTGATTATACATGTATATACAGCCCCTTCCCACCCTCCACGTCCAACCACCCGCCCCACTGAGAAGGGGCAAAGGGTACTCTGGACATTCTTGTCTCACTTCAAGGGCATCAAGGCCCCAACACAGCTTAAGCTTGTAGTTTATAAGACCTCGGCCCAAACAGTTCCCATTCATTATTCTGAGCTCCTGAGAATACAACAGAGAGGCTTCCTCTGGCCCATTTATAAAGTCCAAAGCAATGAGGTGGTAAAACAGGGGAAGTGGCTGCAAGAAAGGAGGGCTCCAGACTACACTGACTTGTCACTGAGCACCTTGGAGGCAGAGTCGGCTTCACAGAAGGCACGTCTATTTGCCAAGCTGTCTATTTGCATGAGGACCTGAATTAATAATAATCCTTGCATTTGATACAGCCTTTTATCATGTCTTCGAGACATCTCAAAGCCCTGCACAGAATATACTGTAAAGTGAATTGACTACATATTTTGTGGGCGAAACACGGTAGCGAATTGCGCACAGCAGTGTCCCACAAACAGTCGTGGATTGAAGTGACTATTTTTTTATTAAATCAAGCAATCAAGTTCTGATGAAAGGTCATCGACCTGAAAGGTTAACTAATTTTCCTCTATCCATAGATGCTGCCTGACCTGTTATGTGTTCCCAGCGACTTCTGTTATTATTTCAGATTTCCAGCATCTGCAGTATTTTGCCTCAAGCAACTGATGTTGCCTGGTATGTGGCTTTGGACTTGTGCATTGAGGACATCAAGATGTCCAGCACCTCACAAGTTGTCCTGTAAAGATCCTCCTACCATGATGAAGGTGGATTTACATCAGATAACTGAGAAGAAACTTTGAGGCTTGAGACGACAGTTGTTGTAAGTATTTATCCAGAGATCGGGTTTGTGAAATCATATATATCCAGTATTTGGAATCCATCTTAATTGTTATGTGAGGTAAGCAGTTGCTCAAGATACACACTTCCAAATGGTGAAACCATCACTCAATGGATAGGGATGTACGTCCAAGCTGTGGGCAGGAAGATGGCAATCTTGTCAGGATCCTAGCACCGAGTGAGGGCTCAAACCTTCGTCAGATGTCAAATGACCTTTGTGAGATTTCAGATGCACAACGAGTGACTATCCTCCTGGAGGCGGGGGTGGGCGGAGGTAAGTCGGGTCTCCTTGAAGCTGAACTGGCTCCAAGGTAGCATGCTGGGTAACATAATGTCAGAATCAAGCCAACCCTCTACGGCGATCTTGGTAATCCAATTCCTGAGCCAAGTGGGTCAGCAATGCTCCAGTACCCTGCCGATGACAGACCAGCCAGCCTGGCTCATCGGCATGACTTGGAGGGGCCAACTGGTCACAACGGGCAGGGATTCTTCCCCTCAGCTCCTGTTAACTGCCCAAGCAAAAGTTTAACGAGCGGTACTAGCTGTTTAAGCAGTGGGAAGTTTGCCGGACAGTACTTTCAATGAAAGCTATGTGGTTTTAGCTTATTAATTTCCAGCAGTACCCCAACCTCCGCACTAGGGTCCCCAAACGTTGGCTCTTGTGAACCTTGCATGAGGTGAGCAGAATATATCTCTCCAGGAACGAAGTGCACATTCTATTCCAAACACGAGAATTTCCATGTGTAGGTGGCATGGATGGAACCGTCAGTTTGGTTTGAATAGTGATTGGTTCCTTGTGTGTCAGCCACCCGGTTAACCTAAAAAAATCCCTGCATACAATGCAAGTTGTGCATATGTACTTAAGCAGGTAAACAGCATTCCTTCATTGACTAAAGAGTCTTCCTCTGCTCAACTCTTTTAGTTTGAATGAAATGTCTTACCCAAAATGTTATATTTCATATGTTCATTGATTTCCATCATTTTCTATCTTTATCTTTATTATGTTGGCAGGCTGTCTAATTTGGACATCATAGTGATCCTTTTCAATACAATCCATTTTCAAAGCTCTCCAAATAGATAGCTAAACATGTGGTAAGATCTAATATTGTTCTTGAGAAATACCTTGATAGTTAGTTGAAAGCTAGTTATTCAGAGATATAGAAGATTAAAAATGGTTTACATTCCTTTTCTGCATTTCTCCATATTACAATGCAAATATTAAAAATATTCTAAAATACAGATTTACTCTTACAAATGTCTTGCTCTGGTATTAGATGAAACCTTCTAACACTATTTTTGGATTGGGGCTTTCAAACTAATTAAGATAAGGATTGTGCTGCAATACATTAAATCCCCCCACAGATTGCAAATTGTCACAGTTTTGCAATTGGTGNTTTTTCTTTAGAAATATACATTATCTCAGACCATAAAATTATAGAATTTGTAAGACAAAAAGCAAATAAAATGTATCATTTATAAAGTATGGGTCATTATACTGGACCTGACATGTACCATTCTGACTGTGTATACATACTGATCCCCCTCTTCAATTTCTTGGTTACATAAATATTTAAAATATATTCAATATATTTTACAATCAGCAACTTTACTGCATTTCAGAAACCAGATATAGAGCCCGTCACGATGACACAGTCTTGCAGAACAAAGATTTATATTTTATTGATTCTGACCACTGTAATACTTTTTGCTGGAGCGCCTTCTTAAAACAGATTTCCACAATGCGCACACCCTCTTTGAAAATTACTGCCCTAACAGAGATCCAGATATATGGTTTTGAAATATCACAAATCATTAATATTTTCATTTCATCAACACTAGGTCTGGCAGCAACTACCTCTGTGAATGATA